AGTCCGCGTCCCACCCCCAGCTACAGGGCCCACTTTGTCTCGGGCCCGTCCTCTGCTGGCCAGGAGCTCAGTGAGGCTCAGTTTGGAGGGGCAGACGCCAGGAGAAACAAAGGCAGGCCGGGGAGGCCTGGCTAGGAGAGCTGCAGCTGGCCACCCTGGTTGAAACACTGGCTCTTGGCTCATTTACAGAGGACCAATTGAGAGCAGCTGAAGTCAGCTGTGAAAACTTCCCCAGCCAAAAGGGGAAAAAACACTTTGTCTGCGGCCAGGGAGCTAAAGCCTGCCAGCGATGTTTTTTTCTCTCTTCGTCTTGAAAGTCAACCAGTGCTTTATGAGAAGCCCCAGATGGATAATCTTAGGAAAATCCTAGAATCGTGATACCGAGCGGCCCCTCCGACCTCACGAGGGCCCATGAGCGGCTCAGGCTGCACGTTCAGCCTGCTGAATTGGGGAAGCTAGTGCCCAGTTAGGAAACTGGGTGAGGGTGTCTTAGGGAGCTAAGGAACATGAGCCTAGGAATCGGAAGACCTGGATTTATGTCCTGCTTGCCTCTTCCGCTATTCCATCTTGAAAGGCCATAGGCAAATTACATCCCTCCTCTGTGCCTCAGCTTCCCAATCTGTGAAATGAGGGGCTCGGCTCCCCCTCCAAAGGTATCACCAACAGCGCCGAGTCCTAGGCTCCTCCTAGCGGAGTAACTGTGTAGCCTTCCGGGCAACTCTCCCTCCGATCACTGGCGGTGCTGAGTTTTCTCCTCCAGCGGGTGACTAAGCAAGCGATGCATGCCGCCTGCCAGTGGAAAAGGGGTGAGGGACAAGGAAATCGACCCCTCCAGCCAGCCCCGAACCGGGCTCCAAGAACAAGCCTATCGTGCCGTTGCTCTGGGGATCGCTAAGTACCTTCAACGTTTTCATCCACCCCTTCCCCCACTCAAAGAAAGCTCACTGGAAAAGAAGAACTCACCCCTGAGCGGGAGAAAAGCCTGCGGAGTAGATTCCAAACCTACGTGTGTGGTTCATTGACTGGGGAGACCAATCCCTAACCAAGGCCAGACCACATTATAGAATAGGAAGGGAGGGGCTGAAGTAACAGCTACATTCACAGCCGATGCTTACCACCCGCCCTTCGGCCCGAGGATAAATGGTAACACACCCAATGTTTAGGACCAATGGGGGAGCAGCATCAGGGCCCGAGGCCCCAGTGGGCTCTCCCAAGAAGCTGGCTGGGGTCATTGCCCAAAGGGGAAATCTGATAGAGATCGCAGTCCCCACCTCTCTTCTTTCAAAGAGCCTCCCAGGGATCCTCCCCAATCCCCAAAGTCACACAAAGTAGGCAGTGTTCTTTACTTCGTGGGCTTGTGCTCCTGGCCAGAGGGCTCGCCGCAGCTGGCGGTGAAGCTGGCCGGCAGTGGACAGAGAGGTTAACTGGGTCTGTGAACCCTAGCAGCAAAATCAAAAGAGGTGGAAAAATGTAAAATCAGACGGAAATTGGCCCCTGCTCTCTGAGAAAAAGAGCTTGGAAATAAAATATCCGGAGTCTCTACCCTGGTTCAGCAACACTGACTCCACGGTCCCTTCCAGCTCTAAATGTACGAGCCTATGTGCGTACAGACGTGTAGAACAGAAGTGCGGTTGCGGAGGAATGTCATTACTAACTTGGGGGATGAAGAAGCCATCTCGTTTTGCCTCCTCTATTCCAAGGAGGATCCATTAGGATGAAACGTAACCCGCTCAAGGGCAAAATTTCCCCAGGGCCTTCCAAGTATAGCTCTTGTCTACATCTGCCCTGGTGAGGGCCCCAATCCCACACAAGCACTCAAGGTAATAATAATCACATGAGGTATAGAACAGCCTTCACGTGGCTCTTCAGCGAAAATGCAGAAAGCACAAGTCACTTCTAGGAGCCCCCGTGCAAATAGCTTATACAATTCTTATTTATTTTTTTTTTCGAGGCAGCTGGGGTTAAGTGACTTACCCAGAGTCACACGGCTACTAAGTTTCAAGTGACCAAGTGTGAGGCTGGATTTGAACGCAGGTCTTCCGGACTCCAGAGCCGATCCTCTATCCACTGCGCCACCTAGCTGCCCCTAAGTTCTACAATTCTTAAGTCCTGAGATTTTTGTGGGTCCTGCCTTCTCCACAAAAAAAAAAAAAACGGTACAGGGCTCTCCAGGCTATACTCGAAGAGCTCTAGATTCCACCTGTGAGGAGCGAACTTGGCATTGCGTCAGAAACAATCCTCCTATCAGATCTGTACCAAACAAACAGCTCCGGCTAGCAGCAAGTCCAGATTGTTCCCCTCAGCCTTTTCCTCTTTATTCCAAGCTGTGTGCTTAGGCTCTTCTCGGAAAGGACAGTTTTGTCCAAAGACGTGCCTTTTCTCTGTATTAGTCTAGGTTCCGGAACACCCCGGAAACTGCACTACCCTGGAAATGGTTTCCTCCAAGTCAATGATCCATTTCCAAGGCACCTACTACGTGCCAGGAAGCATGCTGGGGACTGGGGATACAAAGGCAAAAACAGGGAAGGCATTAGCCTCAGGGAGACCTGGAAAGGCTGTTGGGGGCAGCGAGGTGGCGCCGTGGATAGAGTACCGGTCCTGGATTCAGGAGGACCCAAGTTCAAATCCGGCCTCAGACACAGGACACCTACTAGCTCGCTGTGTGACCCTGGGCAAGTCACTTAACCCCCTTGCCTAGCCAAAAAAAAAAAAAAGAGACCAGGAAAGGCTTCTTGCAAAAGGTGGGATTTTAGATGAGACTTGAAGACAGGATAAGCTAGGAGGGGAACATTCCAGGGATGGGAGAACCACCAGTGAAAATGCCCAGAGTACCCAGGACGACCGTCACTGGATGGAGTATTTGGAGGAGTTGAAGATCTAAGAAGAGTCAGGTAATGAAGGGCTTTTGGGGATAAAACCCAAACAGGACTTTCTATTCGATCCAGAAGATAATGGGATCCCACTGGACCTGCATACTACAGGAAGGCCACTTTGTGAGCTGGAGGATGGACTGGGGAATCCGACTGAGAAGCTCCCCTAGTAACACCTCTCAGACCCAATGAAGCAACCGACAAATCATGACGTGTTTATGAAGCCCTACTATGTGCCTGGCACTGTGCTAAGCACGGGGGAGTCAAAGGAAGAGCCAATAGAGTTCGTACCTTTAAGGACCTTACATTCTAAACTGGAAATCTCTCTCAATCGGGACAGAAGTGTGCACGGAAGGTCACTTTAGAAGGGACGGCACCAGCAGCTTTGTCTCTGCCTCTCTGAGCTTGGGGGTAAGGAAGGCGATGGGGATAGCCCTGCCCCTGCCCCCTACCCCTCCTAATTTCCAAAGGGATACTCAACATTCCAGACAACGGACTCGTTTCTCTAACTCCATTTGACCCAAGTGGGTCAGACTTTGAGGGGACAGAGGAGAAGGAAGATGTACTCTGTAGCCAGACTGTGGAGGTCCTCTATGGGGATGCCTCACTGTGGGTTAGGAGAGGAGGAAAATCTCAATGGGAAAAAGGCTACCATAGCCATTCTAAAATATTTGTCAGGTGCCCTTGGTACAGACTTCGATGGAATCAGAAAAGCATCAGTGTTCGACGTGACAGGATGGAAACCATCCTCACCCCACACCTTCTCTGTATTTGCCTGGCTCAATGGATCCTGAAGGGACCCTCGCTGCTCTTTCAGTTTTAAAGCCCATTCTTTAGAACACACTACCTCAGAAAACACCTTTGCTGCTTTAAGAGGTTACTGGATAAAGTGGAGATTGGGGGAGGCATTTTTATTTTTTTTAAGTGAGGCAATTCGGGGTTAAGTGACTTGCCCAGGGTCACACAGCTGGTGAGTGTTGTATGTGCGAGGCCAGATTTCAACTCAGGTCCTCCTGACTCCGGGGCCAGAGCTCTATCCACTGCACCACCTTGCGGCCCCTGGGGAGGCATTTTTACAGAAAGAGTTCATACCGTAATGATTAGGGCTAAGAAGACCCCTTAATATCGCCAGCTGTCTCTAGCCGAGCCGCTCTCTTTTTCCTTTGACGTTTCTCTGAAGGGAAGCTGGCGATGCAGTGGGCTGGTTGGCTTTAAGAGTACCTCTAATAACTACTTCTCTACGCAGGTAGGACTTGGGCTTTATAAACTTTCCAGTCCGATTTCGTTTTATACATGAGAAATCACGAAAGCCCAAATTCGTGGCCCCAAGTCAAATGGCTAGCGGATAGCAGAGCCAGAGTGTGAACCTAGGCCATGCTCTTTCCACTATGCCGATACCCTGAGGCAGGGGCCCAGGTGACCCAGGGTGACTGTAGGTAATGAGAGCTATGCGAAGGGATTGTCTATAGCTTGCCTGCAAATGTGGGGAGGGCAAGACAGAAACAGGATTAACATCCACGTCGGCGGACTGCGTACCTCGTCACGTTCTGATAAGGGACACAACTGTTACATATACCCATAGGTGGGTCAGGGTCAAATTAACAGGTATGAAAACACTGACGCCATGCACCAGTGGCTTGTCACCAGTACGAAAGTTAAAGAGGAACAAACAGCACCAAGGAGAAGCGGGCACGAGTGTGTTGGCTGAAGGAATGCTGGGATTAGATGGACGGAGGGACAGCCAAGAAGCCTCAAAGCTGACCGCAGGACCGGAGGACAGGCTGGGCCAGCAGTGGGCGGCAGCGGAGCAACGGCGCCCTTACCCTGCCACGACCAGACGAGGAAGGCGGCTTCGGGGACACGACAGCTTGTCTGGATCGAAGTGGGGAGACTGTGGCAAGGCAGACTCAGGGAGCCGAAGCTCGCTCTCGCTGGTTTGGGCGTGGGCTGCCTTCTGGAGGTGAACGGAGATGCTGTTCCCCAGAGGGCCCCCGCGTGGGACAGCCAGTACGAATGCCACGGGATAGTGAGCTATCCAGCAGTCGTCAGAACGTGGGTGCGCACAGCAGTGGTGTCGGGCCGGCGACCATGTCCTGGTTTGCTTGACAAAAGTGACAAACACTCGCCGAATGGTTTAAAAATCTATTTTAATTTACTGTCACATATCAAACTTTTGGTAAGTGAACCCCCCCCCTGCCAATTAAGGTTACCCCCACAGAATAGAGAACAGAAACAGAAGACACTCAAATGACCCACATTCGTTATCAAGTAGTTCGACACAAATTGGCAATTAGTCTATTTCCAAGTTAGAAGTTTCACAAGAAAACTAGAGCGGGCAGGAGCATGAAAATGAAAAACATCGCACAGCTTCCAGAATGGTCTATCCACCACCACCACCATCCAGTGCACAGATGGGAGAAATAGACAGCAAGCCAAGAGCTGATAAAGTCACTTAAATGGAAAATGTAAAACCCCTTTCAACATCAATGTACAAAGCCATGTGTAACACTTGCACTTTAACAAATAAAGCAAGCCAATGTTTTAAAAAAAATACATCATTGAATGTGTATATGTATATATTTACACAGCATTAAGTTTAACATTAAGCTTTAAAAGTTCCACATAAATTTTACCAAAATGAGACAATTTTAAATAAATTACACCTCTTGAAAACATTTAATTGTACACCGAATAGCTCCAATGAAGAATCGAAGTGTCTGAACGTAACATCTACTTAATATACTTTTACTTTACAAACTTTACACTTATTTGGCAGTAAATTTCAGATGATGACATGACTGCTGTGCGATTCAGCAAGTTCCCACCATAGGCATAGCTGGTGTTGGTTTGTGGACTACACTCACAGTAACTGTCTCAATGTAGTGAAAAATATCAGTTATTTTAGCAAACTGTACAAGAGCACATTTACATCTGATCGACAATATAGCGTAGAACTTTGCGTTATGTTTTTCAAAAATAAATACATCGTTTTAAATCTGACATCTTCACAAACACCATGTACACTATAATACAAAGACAACAGCAGGGAGCTGCACTTACGAACACCAAATCACAGAAGCTTTGACACATGAACCTACACTGGGGTGGTGCCAGTCACAAGCACATACTTGGACTACTCTTGGCACTGACGGTTCTGTGACGCTTCCATTTGAGTGCCCATGCTCTTCATTTGAGGGCTGCTGAGCCCTGATCCAAGTCATGAGCGCTCAATTTTCCTCCATGTCTTCCATTTCCTCCTCACGCATCTTCAGAGCTCTCACCACTTCTTTAACTGCATGGTATAAGATGTTTTTGACCTGAAAGAGATGTTGGAATTCTAGTCATTTCGACTGGGAAACGAGGACACAAAACCCCCCCTGTGAATCAGACTATCTAGGGGTGACGAGCATGGTTCCACGTCCCCAAGAACGAGAGACTTTCAAGTGTCACTGCAAAGAAAACGTGGGGCACTGATGCTGCCAGGGGAAGCCCTCACCTGCAGCTTGTCATCATAGTTGATTTCCTCCTTCAGCAGTCTCAGTTCTTGTGTTAAGTGAAATGATTGAACAAGATGTTCTGGGGACACAAAGTCTTCAGTCACCTGGATGCAGCTGTGAAAATTCTGCACCTGTCCCCAAAAGAAAACAGACACGTGTAACAAAAGCCTCTGTTCAGTCACCTAGGGGATTAAAAGATGCCGAGGAGGACTCTCTCCTCGGAGCGTCATGGTACAGGCGAGCTACCGCAAAGCACCAGGCCAAGTCTGTGCCACATGAAATCCTTCGGCAGGAGGTGAGCCCTGACAGAAGGGCTGAGGGAAGTTAGAGAGAGGCAGCTTAGAGGACTCGGGGTCGGCAGAGATCTTAGTCCAAATCCGCTAGTTTCATAAACAAGACAGCTAAAGCCCAGAGAAAATTACTTGTTTGAGATGAATCAGGCAGGAAAAGCTGGGGTTAAAATTCAAGGCAGTATTCAACTCTACAAAGCTAGGAGGGGTAGCCCCACTGCCTTCTCTGAAAAATCTAACTCCATGTGAACTGATCCAACCATTTTGGAGGCAATTTGGAGCTATGCCCAAAGGGCTATCAAAATGTGCATCCCCTTTGACCCAGCAATAGCACTTCTAGGGCTGTATCCCAAAGAGATCGTACAAATGGGAAAAGGACCCACATGCACAAATACATTTAAAGCAGCTCTTTCTGTGTTGACAAAGAACTGGAAATTGGGAGGATGCCCATCCATTGGGGAATGGCAGAGCAAGTTGTGGTATATGAATGTAATGGAATACTACTGTGCTATAAGAAATGATGAACAGGCTGACTTCAGAAAAACCTGGAAAGACTTGTATGGACTGATGCTGAGTGAAGTGAGCAGAACTCACTTCACTTGTGCGATGACCACGTTGATAGACTTGATCCTTCTCAGCAATACAAGGATCTAAGACATCTCCAGAGGCCTCCTGACGGAAAATGCTATCCACCTCCAAAGAAAGAGCTATGGGGTTTGAATGCAGATCGAAGCATACTATTGGCTATTTTTTTCTTCTGTTGGGTTTTGTTTCCTCTTTCTGGTGGTTCGTCCTATTGGTTCTAATTCTTACTTATAAGATCACTAATGTGAAAATATGTTTAATAGGGAATGTATATGTAGAGCCTATATCAGATTGTGCGCCATCTTGGGGAAGGTGATGGGGAGGAAGGGAGAGAAAAATTTTAAACTCAAAAGCTTATGGAAGTGATTGTTGATAAATCAAAATAAATTAATGAAAAAATAAAGTAAAAAAAAAAAAAGAAAAATGTAACTCCAAGCTGGCATTGATTCACCTCTCAGGGCTTGTCTGATGAAAGTTAAAACATCCTATTAAACAAAAGAATCTACAAGACAGTCAGTCAAGCTACGAATATGCATCTACTGAGTTCTCTTGGAAAGCCAGCACACTTGTAGCCCTTGCTGGGAGAATCCCTTTTGCTCGGCTCTTCTCCAGCAATCTCCTGGGGCTCTTCCCCTCCCTCTCTGGCTTCTGGACCACCTCACTGTTCACTGACATTTCTACCAGGGGATGGGAAGGTTCAATGAGGAGCTGGAGCTCAGTCTGCCTGCTCTGTGTTAGGCAGAGAAGAGGAGCCTGAGATGATGAACCCTAAGTGAGGACTTTGAAGGACCCGTGGATCTCCCTTCTCCCTGTCCTTCCAGTGAATCTGCTGTTGGCTCAGTCGTCCGTGGTTAGAACGAATGGTGCGAGGTGCCAGTCCCAGCAGCAAGCTCCCTAGCTTCCCATCTCTCTGGTACTTTGGAACAAGAGGGAAGCAACTGCTTCCCAGAAGTTAATCTGCTTCTACCTGAATGATTTTCTATTTGGAGTCAAGCCACTCTGTCTTATCACCCTCTTGTTCAGTCAATAAGCATTTATTAAGCACCTACTATGTTCCAGGCACTGTATATTAAACGATGGGGATATAAAAAAGAGACAAACACAGTCCCTGCTCTTAAGGAGTTCGGTCTACTGGAGGAAGATAATATGCAAACAATTATGTATAAACAAGCTTCCTACAGGATAAATTAGAAATAATCAAGAGGGTAAATACTAGAGTTAATTGGGGTTACAACAATTTTTCTGGGCAACCAGATTTGGTCCCCTAAGTCTCAATATAGTGAGTATTTTAAAAAAGGAATTCTACCAAGTGTCCCTCTTTCAACTTCCCAGGAAACATTTAAGACTTAAGCCAGAACATGACACATTACATAAGGTAGAAAACAACTAAAAAGCGACAAATTAAAACAATCCTCGGCCTCTAAGTGGCGTGGATCGTGCCAGCTGTTCTTGAATATGTGGAAAATCATTCCAATGGAGCCGAACAGACACTCATGCAGCCACCCATCCTCCCGATGCACACCCCGGTTCTCTTGGCCACAGGTGCGGCCACGAGGCTTTGCTGGCTTTTACCTGGTGCAGTGCACCAGCCGGCAAGATGATCGCATCCCCCAGAAACTGGACGACCGTGCACGTTTTCACACCATACTCTTCCAGCAGTCGCTGGCGGAGTCTTTTGTTCAGGTACCAGCTCTGGTCGCGGATGGGGTCATGCTCTGGTGGGACTTCAAGGCCTTGTTCTTTTGCAATCTAGAAAGCAGAGGGACAAAGATGGTTCACACATCCAGCTTAGAAGAGGTGCCTAAGGGACCAGTTCGTCTTTAAAGCAAACGACAGAAAAGAGAATCCAATTAGGGGTCAAACAAAGACATGACAGAAATACGATTAAGCACACTGAAGGTGCCCCACGGAACTTGTGTTCCTTCTCCTCAGGCGACCTGTCCATCGGACTTTTGTCGGCCAGGTCTCCAACCAAAGCAACCCACTCAAAACAAGGTCACTTCACAAAACCAGAGGCCCACGTACAACTGCCTCCCTTATGCCAGGAGACACTGCTCTAAGGGAGGGGGAGGAACAGAGAAACCGTTATTTTGTTATCACATCGCCTGCCTGTACGTCACTCATGTTCTCAACAACAGAAGATCTGTTTTAGCTGATAACCTTTCACCAACTAATGACTTAACCGTAGTTATTAGAGCCAGGACTTCGCATAAAGGAACACATAAAACATCGAGCCATTGCTGCAGTGGAGGATGTGTGTGCGGACACATCCATGCAACCAGAGACCCTTCAGATGTGGAAGATGACAGCAGGGCAGCAGAACAAGACCTTTCTGTCAGAATGAGTGACTGAGAGAGAGAGAGAGAGAGAGGAAGAGGGAGAGAGGGAGAAAGAGAGAGAGAAAAGAGGGGGGAGAGAGGAGAGAGAGAGAGAGAGAGAGAGAGAGAGAGAGAGAGAGAGAGAGAGAGAGAGAGAGAAGAGGGAGAGACAGAGAGAGAAAGAGAGAGAGAGGAAGAGGGAAGAGGGAGAAAGAGAGAAGAGGGAGAGACAGAGAGAGAGAAAGAGAGAGAGAGAGAGGAAGAGGGAAGAGGGAGAAAGAGAGAGAAAGAGGGGAAGACAGAGAGAGGGAGAAAGAGAGAGAGGAAGAGGGAGAGACAGACAGAGAGAAAGACAGCAAGAGGGAGAAAGAGAGAGAGAGAGGAAGAGGGACAGAGAGAAGAGGGAGAGACAGAGAGAGGGAGAAAGAGAGAGAGAGAGAGGAAGAGGGAAGAGGGAGAAAGAAGAGAGGGAGAAAGAGAGAGAGAGGAAGAGGGAGAGGAAGAGGGAAGAGGGAGAAAGACAGAAAGAGAGGGAGAAAGAGAGAGAGAGGAAGAGGGAGAGGAAGAGGGAGGGAGAGACAGAGAGAGAGAGAGCAAGAGGGAGAAAGAGAGAGAGAGGAAGAGGGACAGAGAGAGAGAAAGAGGGACAGAGAGAAAGGAAGAGGAGGAGAGAGAAAGAGAAAGAGAGGGAGAGAGAAAGAGAGAAAGAGAGGGAGGGAGAGAGAAAGGGAGAGGAAGAGTCATGTTCTCATGACTGACAAGAGCAGGACAGAGGGGAAGGTTTGTACCAATTCCAGGAGATGGAGGTGACACACTTAAAAGCAAACTGATCTATGTTTATTCACTGTGTCTTTTGGAAACGTTTACAGTATTACTCATATCCTCAGTCCAGTGGCATAAGTCTCCTATAGCTGTGATGCCAAATGCAAATAAAAACAACTATGCATAAGGATCCCTGGGGATAGTGTGTTGATTTTTAAAACCAAATATTAACATTATCTATGTTCTATTGTAGTTTTTGTATTTTATTAAATATTTTGACCTTTCTATCCTACAGGAACCAGATGTGAAAGCCAAGGGTAATGGCCCCCCTTCAGCAGTCAATAAACATTTATATAAGCACCTACTATGTGCACTGTGCTAAAGCGCTAGGGCACTCCAATGGGGGCAGACAACATGCTAGCAAGTGTATACAAAGTAAGTATTAAACAGGATAAATCAGAAATAATTAATCAAGAGAAGGTGTTGGACTGAAGAGGGGCTAGGGAAGGCTTCATGTAGAAGGGAGGATTTTAGTGGGAATCTGACGGATGCCAGAGAAGTCAGCTGGTACAGAGAGGAAGGAGAGCGTTCCAGGCATGGTGGACAGCAAGAGAAAATGCATGAGCTGAGAGAGGGAGCATTCTGTTTGAGAAACAGTGGGGAGGAGTACACAGGAGAGTGTGAGGTGGGGGTGGGGGCTTTGAATGCCAAGGACAGAAGTCTATTTTGATCTTGGAGGTGATAGTGTGTATGCAGAGGAGAGGGGGAGATAAAGCAGGACCTTGGCTTTAGGAAAATCCCTTCAGTGGCTGAATGGAAGAGGAATTGGAGGGAGACCCCCCCAGCAGCTCTGGCAGCCTAGTACCAGGCATGAGGTGAGGAGGGCTTGTCAGGAGAGATGGCAGTACAGAGGTGAAACTGCCAGGCCTTGTCACCAGCTTGGATATGGGAGTGGCAGAGAGAAGGGGGAAGTGAGGATAATAGCTAGGATACAAGCCTGAGGGACTGTGAGGAAGAAAGTGGGGGAGGAAGGGGAGGAATAAGCATTTACACAGCAACTGCTATGTGCCAGGCATGGTGCTAAGTGCTTTTCACAAACATCATTTCATAATGCATGATGACGAGTTCTGTTCTGGAAGTGCTGAGTTTAAGATGTCTACTGGAGGTCAGGAGAGGGACTGGGAAGAGACAGAGGTGGACTGAGAATCAGCAAGCACAGAGATAGTGATCAGATCGATGGAAGCTGATGAGATCTCCATGTGAGGCAGTGTAGAGAGAGTAAAGAAAAAGGGATCTATGTTTACAGCTTAGAGAGCAAGGAGCCAACAGCAGCCAGGCAGAATGACCACAAAGACCATGTCTTCGGGCCAACAGGTATCAGGGAAACAATCACACTGAAAGCAGACAAAACACAGCAAACTCACTGGCCTCCTTTCTCAGTTTCCACCACCAGTCACCACCCAAGGACCAGTGTTCTGGCTCATCGAGAAGGGGTAGGGTGAGGGGATGCGGCAGAAGGGGAGCACCCTCACTCCTTAGGAAGAGCTTGACCATTAAGACCCTTCTTACTCAACAGTCCAGACCAGGCCCTTGGGCGCCATGTTGCACGGGCCTGTTTTACGCCCCCTTGTGGTTTTTGTGAGCCACCTGAAATCCTCTTGGGGGTTAAAAGTGGTGCATAGCTGTAAGCGGCCCACAGGCCCCAAGTTAAGCAGGCCTGGTCCAGACTTTTGTTTTCAGATTTCCAAGCTTCCAATTTTAACTCTTCCCAAAACAATGTAAAAGCTATTCAAGACATCCCATACTAATGTTAAAAAGTGGCAAAAGAAAGGAAAAATGGTACCAAAAATGATTTCCTTATTGAGACTTGGGCCCCTTTGTGATTTGCCACTTCCTCCCAGAAATCTCCATTTTGAGCCGCGTGCCTAGACCAGCCGGGCTTTCTCCTTTATGGCCCAGCAATCTCTCTCTGTCCCCTTCTGATCAGCTGATTCCTTCCAGACCCTCCATTTAAGGAAAGTGCCCAAGCCAGCCATGCCTTCCTCCCTTTGTGAGCTCCATCCTCAACTCCCCCCAATGCACCGCCAGCAGAACGTCAGGGGGCGGGACTATTTCTTATGAGCAGAGCCAAACGTGACAAATGCTTTCTGACTGACACTAGGAAGACGGGTACCACGTACCTTCTGGAGAAACTCCCTGATCTTGTCCGCATCTTTGCCCGCGTAGATGTGCCACAGAGCACCTGGGTTTTCGGTGAAGTCTTTCAGCCTTCTCCTTAAAAGGTCGTCCAGGTCTTCTTCCTCAAATTTCTTTAGTACACCTGAAATATGGAGAGGGCTTTTCAAGACCGGCACTTCCACCACGGCCCGAGTGAGGGCGCTGCCACCCTGCAAGCCTCTGGGCCTCACGGAGGCCCTCCAGAGCTGCTGAGCCTTTAAGTGCTCAGGGAATCTGACAGCTCCTCCTTCCCAGGGAAGGCTCAGTGCCTCTCCTCCTCAGCTTATGTGCCTTCCTGTGCCACAGCGGAGGAGAAATACAATTGAGACCATTTCTGACACAACCAATGGCTTCTTTGTCCCTGGGAAACCTCTGCACAAATGTGTTTTTGGAAAACGGGGAGTGGAGAAAAGCGTGTCTTTCTTCAACAGGGCTTTCTCAGGAAACCCCATCAAGCCACTGGTATGTGAGAGCAGGACTTCTTTGGTTAGAAAACGCCTAAGAACCGAGGGGAGAATCCAAAAGAAGTAAAAACCAGGAAGGAGCCAAGAAAGGGAAATGGCAGGCCTCCTCCCCAGCCCCGATTCAGAAGGGACTTTCACCTGGCAGAGGGAATTCCCAGGTAAGAACATTCCCCGCACCCCTGCAGCAGGCTGGAACCTTGCACACGTTAGTCTGCACGTTGCCCCAGGTCCTGAGGAGCGAGGACACTTGCTCAGAGTCAGTCGCCCAGCAAGGACGCGTCAGAGGCAAGCCTTGAGCCCAGGCTTCCTAGCCTGGCTCTCTCTCCACTATATTACTTGGCCTCCCTTCATTAAAACACTAATACACAGACCATACATCCAGAGCTGGGTGAGTATCTTAGACATACGGTCTAAACCTTTTATTTTACAGATGATAAAAAATGAGGCACAAGGCTTTTCCTGATCACTCCCCAGCCAGCCAGCTGCTAGCACCTCCTTCTTGAAATATGACCCTCTGTAACTCTGAGGTGCCACCTCCCACCCATCAGATTGGCTAGAAAGACAAAAAAGGAAAATGATAAATGTTGGAGGGGACGGATGTGGGAAAATTGGAACACTACTGCGTTGTTGGTGGAGTTGTGAACTGACTCAACCATTCTGGAGAGCAATCTGGAGCCATGCCCAAGGGTGATCAAACTGTACATACCCTTTGACCCAGCAATACCATTACTAGGTCTGTACCCCAAAAAGACAAAAAAGGGAGAAGAACCTATGCACATACGAAAATATTGAAGCACCTCAGTTTGGTCTGTAACCCCCCCAAAAGGGGGGAACTTTTTGCTATTTGTGCAAAAAATATTTATAGCAGCTCCTTTTGTGATGCCTAAGAATTGGAAAATGAGGGGATGCTCATCAATTGGGGAATGGCTGAACAAGCTGTGGTATGCGATTGTGACGGAATATCACTGTACCATAAGAAATGGTGAGCGGGATGCCCTCAGAAAAACCTGGCAAGGTTTACATGACCTGATACAAAGCGAAGGGAGCAGAATCAGAAGAACATCGTATACACAGTAACAGTAATGCTGTATGATGAAGAAGTGTGAATGTCTTAGCTATTCTCAGCTCTCAGACAATCCTAAAGGACTCGTAACAAACAATGCCACCTGCCTCCAGCGAAAAGACTGAGGGCATCTGACAACAGACCAACGCACACTATTTCTTTCTTTATTTTTGTTCAAGTTTTCTTCCACAAATATGACCAATATGGAAACGTTTTACATGACTGCACATCTATGACTTATATCAAACTGCTTACTGTCTTGGAAAGATAGAATATGGAATTCAAAAAAATGTTAGAAATTATTTTTGTGTGTACTTGGGGAAAAATAAAATATTATTTTAAAAAATGACCTGTTGTTTGGTATATAACCATATGTCCATGGAAAAAAGATGTTACCTTCTTGAGGGCAGTTGTTTTCCTTTCTAAGTATTCCAGCTGACTGGCCTAGGATGCCACCTCATCAGTACCTGCTGACTGACTGACCAAGAGCACGTGTTTGAGGGCAGACTGGAGCCAGGTCGACCCCAAACCCAGCGCTCTTCCCGCTGTTCCATGCTGATTTATACTGGAGGTGACCTAGCCATATCCTAAAATTAGAGGACAGGAATGGTTCAAGTTCTGAAGTCAAGCCTATTCATTCTTGGAGTGAAAAAGGGCAGGGAATCCAAAAGGAGATTTCACAACAGAAAAAACTGAGGGGATGAGGACAGCAAGTGGTTAATTGTGGGAACTGAGTGATCCAACCGACTCCATCTTGTGACTCAATTCTGGAGCTAATTCAGTTCCCTTTCTATTCAATTATGGGAATTAAGAGAAAACCTTATTGATTGTTTCAACCTAATCTTTCGTGGCAGAGAAGGTGGACCACCTCTCCCTGCTGCTTAGAGTTTTCCGCAGACTGAAACCAGGTGGAATTTGGTTGGGTGGGGACAGCCTCTTGATAAGGCTGTAATCAGCATCAGGGCAGGAATCCACACAGAGACGAGGTAAGTGGTTTTCCTGTTTGATGTATTTCAATGTGAAATGGGGGAAGCCCAAAGAAAAACTTCTCTGTGCGTAAGTTCAAATTCACTCGTCAGTCACTTTCTTCTCTTTCATTATGTTAAATGCACTATAAGCGTCGAGGAGTAGTCCCAGCACAAGCCCCCTTAGGGGCCCGGGGAGCAGAGAGGATCGAGGGAAAGAGCCTCAGTCTCCTCCCACTGGATCCAAAGGACTCCAGAGCCGTCACTGAGACCTTGCAGCAGGGAACAGAGGACAAATGAGCACCCCACAAAGGGAGAAAGGGATTTCTGACAACAAGGAGCTTGGATACTTGAGAAGCTAAAACACGAAATGTTTAAAAAAATGAGAAAATGAAATGAAAAAATATTTCAAAAATGAGAAAGCTGAGAAGTTAAAACAGAAAATGAAGTTAAACTTCATTTAAAACCCTAAAAAAGTAAACACCCAGATCCCCATTTCAAACGTCGGCAAAACTGATGAGGCTACAGGGAAGAAGTGTTCCTGAAGAGGCAGAGAGGCTTTAACACTTTCTAACTGTGGCCTCTGAATCTCGATGACTTTACAGTATCAAAGTTGACAGTTTTTTAAGCACGTCCCTGGCTCTACTCTTAGCCCGATGCTGAGCACCAGGAGCAGAGCCAAGGCTCCACACTCCAACGGATGTGGATCTGAGCGCAGACTTGAAGGAAAGCAGAGAAGCCAGGAGGTGAAACCAAGCGGGGAGAGAACTCTAGCCTGGGGGTGCAGTCAGCAAAAGTGGGCTGTGCAGCGAGGGTTAAGAAGGGGCTAGGTGATGATCCTAGAGGTGACAGAGAGACACTGGAGTCTGCTGAATAAAAACAGAAGGTCCCAGGGTCGGAGCTGCGCTGAGGAAGGTCTCTTTGGCAGAGAGGAGATGGAGTGGGATGGGGACAGACTAGAGGCTGGCAGACCTCTGCGCCACCCCTCCCCCCCCCCCCTGCTCCAGCAGCCACTGCAATGGTGCAGGAGTGAGGGGATAAGGGCCTGCATCAGAGTGGAGGTGTCTGTGGGACTGGTGAGGAGGGAGTTGAAGAGGATGCCCAGGTTGTGAGCTGGGTGATTGAGAGGATGCTGGTGCCAGCCATGGCTGAACAAGAATACTGCTGTAACAGCCAAGTGGCTTCCCAGCCTCAGCCTGACAAGGAGCTCATCTTCTCAGTGTTACACTGAGCCAAATGCGGCTCCTTCCCAACCTCTGCTCCCTGTCCCTACTAGTGCTGGCCTCTTGGGCAAAGCAGTTCAGGTCGGATCCCTCCTCCACAGCACAGCCTTCCAGTGCCTGCAGGCAGAAGTCATGTCTGCCATCTCCTTTTCTTAACCAATCCCTTTAAGTGACTCAGTTACAGCCCTAGGCTACTTCTCCTCCTCTTTTAATGCTCTCTAGCTTCTGTTCTTTTTAAAATATCAACTTGGGAACAATATAGCAGAACTCTTCCTTCTCATACATTAAAAGTGATAAATTAATCTAGATTAAACCCCAATATGGTGAATGAAAATCATTCTCTGTCGTCCCTGGCAGTGGGCCAGAAACTCTGATGAGGAAAAGTATGAGTTCTGAGGCAGGCATCACTGACATCTACAAACCTCAAGGCCACCAATCCTCTATTCCTTCAAGCAGCCAAGATTTAACCAACAGTTCTTATGTGCCTTGCACTACAGTACGAGAACACAAAAAGGCCTAACTAAAGGAATTCAAATAGAACTTAACATAATGGAGATAACATACTGGAACTTAATAAGGAGCTGGATTAAATGCAGGTGTACAAGCGTGACTTCAAAACTGTAACCCCTTGTATAATTTGGATTACTTTCATGCTCCACAGACAATCAGACCATACGGAAATAGTGACAAGCTGTCGCTTTTCAATCTGTTGTAAATTGGCCAACTTCATGGAAAAAAAAAATCAAAAAAGCCAAACTCAGTCCATGAAATGCTTTGCAGAACTCTGCAAAAGCAGAGGGGCACAACTCTGGAAAGTCCTCAAGAGCTGTGCCCCTAAAGGTGCCAACCTGTACTCTGACCCAGCTCTACCACTACCTGTACCCCAAAGAGGAGCCAGATGTACATACTTTTACAGCAGCTCTTTTTTGTGGTGGCAAAGAACTGAAATTAAGAGGGTGCCCACCAACTGGTTAAGAGTTCAATAAATGATGGTCTACAAAGGTAAAGGAACACCGCTGTGCCATAAGAAAGATGATCTCAGAGACATCTGAGAAAGCTTTTATGAACTGATGCAGAATGAGGTGAGTAGCAACAAGAGAACAATACAAATACAATAACAAAAACAAACAACTTTGAAAGACTTTTAAGAATTCTGATCAACACAATACTCCACCACCATGATGCCAGAGGACAGAAGATAAACCATGTTACCTACCCCTGACCTACGGGCTCTGGACTACAAAGATGCAGAAAGAGAGACATTTTTGGACACTGTCAAGGTGGGAACTCGTCTGCTTGACTACACATATTTGTTAAAAAGGTTTCATTTCCCCCGTTTAAAAAAATATCATGGTATGTGTGAGAGGAAATAAATGCTTCCTAATTGAAAAAACAGAATTTAAAATGAGAAACAGTACACAGAAAAGAACAGAATTAAGGTCAGAAGGAAGTTCAGACAATCTGACAATCAACAATTTTGAAAGTAACGTGGAGAATTCTTCCTCTATATGTATATTTGGTGGACGTTTTCAAAAATCTCTCTAAATAATCAGTGAAAGGTCCCCAAACTAATAATACCTGACTCAGAAATAGAAAGTGATTACATATATGAAAAACAACTATAGATTATAGTTAAAATAGAATTTTTAAAATAAACACCAGTTCTGCAAATGAAACAGAAGGAAAGACCTGCTTGTTAATACTACAAAATCAAATCTTGTTTCCTTTAGGGACTTAGATAGTTCTAAATATGAATGGAAAAGAACTCCCTTGCTGTGGATAACATCACATATTCTGCTTTTCTCTGAGTAAGAACAGGTAATGGAGCTGTCTTACAAAAATACACTGAAACAAGGGTTTGAATTTGAAAACTAATCATGTTTAAGCTAAAGGTGAACAAAGAAATCTTTGGTTTATCCAAGAAATACACATTGACACTGACAACATCACATCCATTCGGAATGAGGTTTGCTACGGCAACCGTCGTAAAGAGAGAGCACTGGTCTTGCTTAGTGGCTGAAAACGTAAACGGGAATGTTGTCAAAGACGCCTTAGGTTTTGAGAACCTTTATGTTAAGAAGAAACCTACCCTTCACATTAAGATTAATACTTTGTTATAAATATAACTGGAGGCATTTTAACACAAAACCTTGTTATTTTTATTGGATGGTTAAGATTTTGCATGTTGTTATACAAATTATAGAAAGTCCTAAATGTGAGGCAAGAACACCCCCATCTTTCTTCACTCCAAGCTCCAACAAGGAGGTGGCCCTGCTCGCAGGTTAATCCATCCTGGATAATTCCCTTCAGCCACATGCCCCCACCTGCTCCCCGACTCTGCCTCTTCCCACCTCTGGTGACTGACTAGTTTCTTCTCAGCTGCCTGTGAACACACCTAAATGTCCCCAAGGCAGACCCCACCAGCCCCCCACAATCCACCATCCGGCACCTGTCCTGCCTCTCTCAGCCGAACGTCTAGAAAAAGCTGCCTGTGGGAGTTGTTTCCCCTCCCCCCTCGCCCCACTCTCAGAACTTCTTGCAGTCTAGCTTCCAGCTTCGCCAGCCAAGAGGAACCGCGCTCTCCACATCTGTCCGTGGCCTCGTAACGGCCCACGTTGACAGTGTCTTCCTGGTCCTCGTTCTTTCTGGCTTCCTTGGGTCCCCCCTCTCCTCCTGGTCCTGGTCCTCTTAGTTACCTTTACTGGCTCATTCGACCCTGGGGCTGTCGTAGCCCGAGGCTCTGTTTGGGCCCCCTTTCTCCCTAGACTCTCTTGGCTTCACAACACTACAGGTTTCATTATTCAAATAGCTCATTTAATATAGCCAGTCCCAGCCTCCATCATGAGCACCAGTCCCACATCATCAGCTCGCCTGCTGGTTATTTCAAAGTCAGCTTTTCCAAAACAGAAGTCATTAACCCTTTCCTCTGAAAGTCTCTCCCCTTCTGAATTTCCCCATTACTGCTGAGGGTGCTACTATCCTCTCAACTGTTCAGATTCACAAGGCTGGTAGCATCCCAACCTCCTTATTTTCACTCATCTCACCTATCCCCCTCCTCACTCCTCATAAAGTCACCACCTTAGCACATACAGCCTTCCATCCGTGACCTCTTGCTGGACCATCACACTGGCCTCCTAACTGGTTTCCCTGGCTTGTCTCTCTTCCCATGCTGCCGTCCACAGAGCTCCCAAAGCTACTCAATTAATTCCAGCGGCCCCTAGGAATCTCTAAAACAAAATGGAAGCCCCTCTGTTTGGTTTTTAAACTCCCATGTGACCTGGCCCCAGCCTCTTCATCCACGACTCCTCTTCCTGCACCTGGCCAACAACGCTTCTCTGGGGTCCTTCATCCATGCCATGCCCACGATGCTTTTGCACTTACTGAAGACGGAGGACTTACCTCCATCTCCTAAGACCTTATTTCACTCCCTTCAAGATTCAGCTCAGGTCTCCTCCATGAAGCCTTTCCTGAGGACCTCCTACCCCAGACTAGCTTTTACTGATTTGGCATATACAACTAAGTTCCCATGTTCTCTCTCCTGACAGAAGACCAACTCTTGGAGAGGAGTGACTGCTAGTTCTGCTCTTGTTAACCCCAGTCCCTGTCACTGTGCTGGGCACATAGTTTGTGGGTGTCTTATTTCTGCAGGTTAACTAAAAATGTGGGATGTCATAATCGAGCGTGAGAAGGGCACACTGCAACCTAACTTGCAGTAGATTAAACGATCTGTCTGAGGCAGAGTCAGGATGAGAGCCTAGATCTCCCGACACATGAGCCAAAGCTCTTTCCTGTCCCATCGTGATATTAAAAAAAAAACACCCCCTGGCTGCCAAGAGAAATGTGGTCTCCTTATGTATCCTTCACGTAATGTTTTACTCCTGCCTTCAAGCAACAAATCAGGCAACATAAAAATCATGGGGGAAGGGGCCAATCCGAGGAATTCATTAGAAAGACTACTATATTTCTCAGTTCCTTAAATGACCAATAAAATGTTAGTGGTGTTAAAAGGAGCTAAAAGAAAGGACAAACGTCATCTGATAATCGTGGTCCTTTAAATGTGAAGATGTCCCTACTTCACAAGTGTTCTCTGCAATCATCACCGACATTCCAGAAGCTGGGTTTTGGTGGATTAAAAAAAACAAAAAACAAAAAACACTAGAAAGTCTGTGTAGTGCAGAGTTTGAAAAAGTGCTGGGCTTAGAAGTAGCAGAGGCCTGGGTTCAAGTCCTACCTCTATCTGACACTGACTGGCTGTGAGAATAGGGGCAAAGCACTTTGTATCCCCATCTGTACAATGAGGTTAATGCATTGTCTTCTAGTGTTGCTATCAGCACCAAATGAGAGAAAGTATTTTAAACATGTTAAACCTTCAAGTGCTATAAGCGTCAATATCTTCAATAGGCAATAACATGGACGGTTATTCAACTATTAGCCATAACAAGCTAGGCTGTTTTCAAGGAAGGTTTCTGTACCTGATTTTGAGAGCACTCCATTTCCTTTTGCTACACCAACATAAACCAGAATGTTTACAACATCAGAAACTTCAATGTGGAGATTTGTTGTTCCAATATCGTGATCTTTAGTGGCAGCCACACCTGTGTTTGGAATAAGATTTGAATTTTCATGAATACACATTAAACTCTCATCCCTCTATTCATGTATTAATATAGAACCCCCCAATTCCAGTTCACAGTGACGAAATTATTTCTGCATTGGGTCTAACTAATTCAACCTGCACATGAAGGAATAGGCCATAAAACAAAAGGTTGAAATTTTCAAAGCTTGTGAACATTTGACAAAGGGTTTTCAAAAGTTATTTTATTATAGTTTATTCTTTATTATTTTACTGTGCACACTGGGCTTTTTCTCCATTATATTTGGTCATAGCACATTATTTATGACATTAAAAAATTTCTCTCAATGGGTTATACAAGTAACAAATTCTTAAGTATGGAAAAAAGCTCGCAAGTGAAGCCCTTGTTTTCTAACTTTGATACTGAGCTAATGATGAATACAACAAAATGGGAGATATGCTAAGAAAAGTTTGGAAAGGCCACAGAGTAACAAAGATATTTATAACGCCGTAACATTAAATGGAAACCATCAGAGGATTTAGCCATGTATCTGTGTAAAAGTTCCATTGTTATTTCTGGTAGAGAGGGCTACTCACCATATGCACTGCACAGTCTGGGTCCTAGGTCTGGACGAACAAAAAATCCTGGCAAATGGGAGGCCAAATTGAATCTTCCATCAGGATTACAGTATTCTGGTAACGGCAGGCTTTTAAACAGATCTTCATATCTGGAATAGTATAATACTTGAAGTTTTTTGGGGAAATTTAAGACGTTCAAAGTGCTTTCAATGTTAACAAGTCTTGCAACTTCTACAAGCCCCAGAAGCAAAAAACTCCACAAAAGGAAGGCCTGACTGTAAGACCTTCGTTATCTCTTATCAGGCAGCCCTGCCCCCCAACTCTTGATGGGGTCTGAGGGTAATGCGACTGAAGGGGTGAAGCCCAGAGGGAGCAGGGGAAGGGATCCAAGACAGCTTTCCTGGATGATCTCTGACCCAGACTCATACCAACTGGATTCTTAATTACCTTCTCCCCCAAATTACGGCATTAGAAAAGCACAACAAGGGAGTGGCAGAAACAAGAAAACAAGGCCTGCTTGCAGGGGCTTCCGGGAACAGGAGCTCTGCTAGGCTTCTCCTAAACCCAAGCCGAGGCCAATGTGGCAGAGCCTTCGAATTCCACAAGCTGCCTCTTTCCTAAATGCCCGATTAGCAAGGATGAATCTCCTCCACTTGGAAGTCAACCCCAATGTTACTAGTAACCATCAACAAACAACAAGTTTCATTTCCCGTAATACCTTGCCGGCATCATAGTTTTGAAGTCTTCTCCTGAAGGGCAGTCTTTCAGTTTTAAAACAACGGTTTCTCCATTTTTCATTTTTTGACGTTCTGTAAAGAAAATAAACTGAATTGCGTTTTTCTTTTTCAACAATGTAGAAGAATAGAGAAAAGAGAGATCATTCAAAAGCTTTATTCTCATTATTGCACAGTGCAGCTAAGAATTCACACGTGCTTATTTACTGAGTGTCAGGCTTCCTAATTTTCTATGATGCTACAACACAATGAATTATTCCTTTATGACTCCATGAAGTGCGAAAACCCAAATTCTCTTCAAGAGAATTTCTTTAAGCCTTTTATTATGAACAATTATATTATCCATTTTTAAAGTGATCTTACTCTCCAAAATATTTTGCTTCCACTACTTCACTTGGCTAAAGAAACGGTTTTTAATATCACTTCAAAATGATAAATAAGAAACTGAGGTAGAAAGCACTTAAATGATTTGCTTAAGAGATGACAGCTAAAGGTGGAGCCGGGATTAGAACTCAGAGCTAAGCCCTCATTTGGTAGACAACACTGTTTCAATCTACATGTCAAAGCTTAACTGCCTTCTAGAAATATCACTAATGAACAAGTTTCCATTTTTGAAGTTATATTTGAGAACAACAAAAAAGTGAGGAACCACATACTTGAAATGTCTTCAAAACCATCCCAGAACTCCTTAACGTTGGCATTTGAAATAAGGCTGTCTTTGCAGTTCAGGAGATCTGCCTGGTGGTCTCCAAAATCAAGACTAATTGCCTCTGCTTTCCACAGGCTGATGTTCATTTTCTTGTGGACACCAGAAACCACCACAGGCTTGTTAACAAAAGGTGAAAAAAAAAGTTAGAACCAAGGAGAACGTAAGACATCAGCTGAAATACACAATTCATAATTAAATCCTAATCACAACTGCTCAGTACTTTTTGACCTGCATTTTCCAAGCATATCTACCAAAGACACTCTAAAATTGAGGAAGTAGCTCCTGTTTCTTACCTTTCTCTCCTTTTCCTAAAAATGTTTATGTCTCACCTAAAGGCAAGGATCTGTGTCTGCCCTGATACCTTAAGAAGAGCCCTCAGCAAAGAGAAGGGACTCCATAAACATTCGCTGCTTTATCTTTACACACAGGATAATGGCTAAAACTTCTCACCTCCATAAATAAGCGCCAGAGTAAGGGTTTATTGTTAACACCAGAAAGGTTCTGAAAGTCAAATCTGGAATAGTGTGGAGTACCCAACTTCAATCAGTTAGCTAAACCACAACATTCATTAAGCACCTACGGGCCCAAGACCGTGCTAACTGATGAAGATACAAACATAAAAATGAGTCATTCCCTGGCCCTCAACGAGCTTGTATTTTGTAGCTAGAGAGCAGTACTGACTGTACTCTACCTGTAGCAGAGAGCACTTACTGTGCAAGTAAGTACAGACAAAATACACACGAGGTATTGTGAGGAAGGGAAGCACGCAAGGGAAGCAGGTGCCCGGAAGCATCGTCTTACTAAAAACCAGCCACCGGACCAAAATTCAGCTTTTCCCCATGTGAGATTAGCCAAAATCATCCCCTCCACACCTCTCCCCTTCTCAATAAGACTGTGAAAAGAGAGAGGGAGAGAACACCCACACAAAGACAGGACATCCTAACTTTTTAGAGACTACATCTACTTGAACACTCAGTTTCTGTACTGCTAACAGATAAACAGTTTAGATGTGACCGGGTGGGTAGGTGGCACCACAGTGCACAGAGCGCTGGGCTTGGAATCAGAGAGACTCATCTTCCCGAGTTCAAATATGTGACTTAGTAGTTGTGTGACTCTGGGCAAGGCACCTAACCCTGTTGTCTCAGTTTCCTCATCTCTAAGATGAGCTGGAGAAGGAAATGGCAAACCACTCTAGTATCTTTGCCAAGAAAACACCACAACGGGATCGTGAAGAGTCAGACACAATTGAACAATAACAATTACATGTGATTCTCTAAAAGACATGAAATCTTTAGAAGGTGATTGCTCATGAAACACATCGCAAAACAAAAATTTCTCATTTAACTATGTTACCACATAAGAGAGACTACATCTTAGAAATGAATTACTTACTGAATTCTCCTTTTTTTAATTATTTATTTTTAGTTTTCAACATTCACTTCCACAAGATTTTGAGTTCCAGATTTTCTCCCCATCTTGTCCCTCCCTCCACCCCAAGATGGTGTGCATTCTGAATACCCCTTCCCCTAATCTGCCCTCCCTTTTATTTCCCCGCCCTTTCTCTTATCCCCTTTCCCTTCAATTTTCCTGTAGGGCAGGACAGTTTTCTATACCCTACTGTCTGCTTATCTTATTTCCCAGTTGCATGTGAAAACAATTTTATAATATTTGTTTTTAAAACTTTGGGTTCCAAATTTTCTCCCTTCCTCCCTCCTCACCCACCCTCATTGAGAAGGCAAGCAACTCAATACAGGTTAACCATGTGTAGTCATGCAAAACACTTTCACAGTAGTCATGTTGCGAAAAACTCTGTATAGTTCCCTGCATTCTATCCCGCCCCATTTATTCCCTTTTGACCCTATCCCTCCCTTAGAAGTGTTTGCTTTTGATTGCCCTCTCCCCCAAATCTGCCATCCCCTCTATCATATACCCCTGCTCTCTTGTTCCTTTCCCCCCCCCCATTTTCCTACAGGGTAATACAGATTTCCATACCCAATTGAGTGTGTATGTTCTTCTCTTCTTAAGCCAAATCCAATGAGAATAAGATTCACTCATTCCCTCTCACCTTTCTCTGTTTTCCCTCCACTATAAAAGCCTTTTCTTGTCTGTTTTATGTGAAACAATTTACCCCATTCTACCTCTTCCTTTCACCTTCTCCCAATATAATCCTCTCTCACCCCTTAATTTTATTCTCCAGATACCATCCCTTCATCTTCAACTTACCCTGTGCCCTCTATTTATCTATCTATATATACATACATACAATTTTTTCCCTCCAACTATCCTAACACTGACAAAGGTCTCATGAGTTACAAATATCATCTTTCCATGCAGGAATGTGAACAGTTCAATCTTAGTAAGTCCCTCATGATTTCTCTTTCCTATTTTCCTTTTCATGTTTCTCTTGAGTCTCATATTTTAAAGTCAAATTTTCTATTCAGCTCTGGTCTTTTCATCAAGAATGCTTGAAAGCCCTCTATTTCACTGAATGTCCATTTTTCCCCTGAAGGATTATGCTCACTTTTGCTGGGTAGGTAATTCTTGGTTGTAATCCTTTCTCTTTTGTCCTCTGGAATATCATATTTCAAGCCCTCTGATCCCTTAACGTAGAAGCTGCTAAATCTTGTGTTATCCTGACTGTATTTCCATAATACTTGAACTGTTTCTTTCTGGCTGCTTGCAATATTTTCTCCTTGACTTGGGAAACTCTGGAATTTGGCTACAATACTCCTAGGTGTTTTCCTTTGGGGATCTCTTTCAGGAGGAGATTGGTGCCTTCTTTCCATTTCTTTTTTGCCCTCTGGTTCTAAAATAGCGGGGCAGTTTTCCTTGATAATCTCTTGAAAGATGATGTCTAGGCTCTTTTTTTGATCATGGCTTTCAGAGAGTCCAATAATTTTTAAGTTCTCTCTCCTGGATCTATTTTCCAGGTCAGTTGTCTTTCCAATGAGGTATTTCACATTGTCTTCTATTTTTCCATTCTCCTGGTTTTGTTTTCCAATGTCTTGATTTCTCATAAAGTCACTAGCTTCCAATTGTTCCATTCTAATTCTTAAGAAGTATTTTCTTACAGGGCACTGGCCCTAGAGTCAGGAAAACTCCAAATCCAGCCTCAGACACATCACACTTACTAGCTGTGTGACCCTGGGAAAGGGTCACTTAACCCCACTGCCTAGCCCAAAAAAAAAAAGTATTTTCTTCAGTGAGCTTTTGGGCTTCTTTTTTCCGTTTGGTCAATTCTGCTTTTTAGGGCATTCTTCTCCTCACTGGCTTTTTAGACCCCTTTTGCCATTTGGGTTACACTATATTTTGAAGTGTTATTTTCTTCAGTATTTTTTTGCATCTCCTTTAGCAAGCTGTTGACTTGTTTTTCATGATTTTCTTGCATCAGCCTCATTTCTCTTCCCAGTTTTTCCTCTGCTTCTCTTAATCCTTTTTGAGCTCTTCCATGGCCTGGGCCCAATTCATATTTTTCTTGGAGGCTTTGCATGTAGGAGCTTTGACTTTGTTTCTTCTTCTGGTTGTATGTTTTGATCTTCTTTGTCACCAAAGAAAGAGTCTATGGTATGACATTTTTTGTGCTGTTTGCTCGTGATCCCAGCCAATTACTTGAGTTGTAAACTTTTTGTTAAGGTAGGAGTCTGTTTCCAGTGTGGAGAATGTACTGTTCCCAAGCTTCACAGGTTTTGTGCAGCTGTTTTCAGAGATACTTGTAGGGACCTGTAAATTTTCAGTTCTTCCAAGGTGGCATGATCAAGGGCGAGGTGTTTACTCCTTTCCTGGCCTTTGCTCCGGTCTATGAGTGACCATAAGCACTCTATTCTGCCTTGGAACCGTGAGGAGGATTCCTTCTGCACCACCACCACCACCACAAGCTCCACCACACCAATGCTCTTTCTTGCCCCAGCACCACCACCCAGAACTGTGACCCAGATCCAACACGGGCAAAACAAGAGAATCCTGCCTCAGCACCCACAAAGAGATCCCTGCAATCCCCCTCTGATCAGCCACTCAATTGCTCCTCTGTCTGTGGACCGGGAAGCTCCAAAAGCAGCTGCTGCCCCAGGGCTGTGCTGGGACTCGGGCTGGGATTGAGCTTCTCTCTCACTGTGGTCACAGACTTTTCCTACCAACCTTCTAAGTTCTCTTTGGCATTTGTGGGTTAAGAAGTCTGGAAACCACTACAGCTACCTGTGATTCAGTTCTCTGAGGCCTGGTTTGCCCGTGCAACCACGCTGAACTGCGCTCTTCTCCCAGCCCGGCACGATACACCTTTCTGATCAATCATCCAGGTTGTCTTGGGCGGGAAATTTGTTTCACTCTGTCTTTTTCTGGGTTCTGCTGCTTTAGAATTTGTTTAGAGCCATTTTTCACAGGTATTGGGAGGGGTTTGGGGGAGATCTCAAGCAAGTTGCTGCTTTTACTCTGTCCCCCACCCCGCCCAATTCTCCTCTTAATGTCATTCCTAGGGCTAACATAACTTATCTGCACAAAAATCAGGACAGACATTTTGTCATAAAGCTACCGCTTTACCATCAGGTACAGCTACTAAATGACAACAACACAAGAGTTTATAACACAAGTTGTTTTCTTCTCTAACCCCACCCAACTTCACTTCAGTTATTAAGGCCTGGGGGGAACAAGCAAGGTAACTAGCTAATCAGAGCCATGTAAAATCTGTACTTAAAAGACTTCTCAAAACAGTCCAACCAGCGTTTTCCATGAAGTATCAAAAGGCCTGAACAACTCAACAATTTTAAAAAGCTCACTGATTTAATTTTTAAAAATTGGTGGAAATTTGCTATATGTGAGGCGTCATGAGGCTCAGTAGCACGCGAGGGGACGTAAAACGGCTGCAGACGTGATTGCTGCTGCGGTCCAGGCATTCAGTTTTGTCTGACTCTTTGTGACCCCCTGGATTATAGCATGCCAGACCCTTCCACTCTCTCTCTTGGAGTCCGTCCAAGTTCATCTTCATTATTTTCATGATGCTATCTAACCATCTCATCTCCTCTGCCATCCCCTTTTCCTTTTGCCTTCAATCTTTCCCAACATCAGGTTCTTTTCCAACAAGTCCCATTTTCTCATTACGTGGCCAAAGCAAGCTTCAGCATCTGACCTTCCAGTGAACAGCCTGAATTAATTTCTTTAAATGTTGACTGATTTGATCTCCTTGCTGTCCAAGAAACTCCAAAGTCTCCTGCACCAACTCTAAAGTGCTGATTTGGCAGCGCTTTGGATGTTCTCGTAGTCCAGCTTTCAGCAGGTGGTGTCTCTGTGTTTCAGTGTGCAGTCCGGATCTGCCCTAGCTCTCCTTCCAGGAGCAGCTGCCATCTGTAGAGATCTCTGAGCCCAAGAACTCCCCGTCTGGTGCTGCTGCCACTTCTTCACCCTCGATTTGTCAGCAAGTAGTAGGACCAGTTGGCACCTTGGTTCTTCTTTCTAAGCTTCACGTCAGCTTTGACACTCTCCTCTTTCACTCCCCATCATGGGGCTTCTTAATTCCTCTTCACTTTCTGCCGTTGGAGGGGTATTGTCTGCATAGCTGAGAGCGTCGATATTTCTCCTGGCAACCTTCATTCCAGCTTTTGATTGATTCAGCCTGGCACTTTACACGACATACTCTGCATGTAAGTTCAGTAAGCAAGGCGATAATACACAGCCTTGTCACGCTCCTTTTCCAATCTTGAACCAAGAGTTTAAGCTAATTTGTTTGGGTCTAACTTGCTTTCTGACCCACACTACAGGTCCCTCAGGAGACAGGTGAGATGATCTGGTACTTCCATCCCTTTGAGGACCTGCCACATTCGGGGATCCAAACAGTCAAAGGCTTTAGTGCAGGGAATGAAGCAGAAGGAGATGTTTTTCTCGAACTCTCTTACTTTCTCTGTAATCCGGGGAATGCTGGTAATTTGGTCTCTAGTTCCTCTGCCTCTTCAAAAACCAGCCTGCTCTTCTGATAACCCTTGGTTCACATACTGCTGAAGCCTAGCCTGCAGATGCTTAAGCATAATCTCGCTGGCATATGAAATGAACGCACCTGTTCGGTAATACGAATGTACCTTGGCATTGCCCTTTTTAGGACGGATCTTTTTCTGTGGCTACTATCAAGGTTTCCAAATTTGCGAGCATATTTAAGTGCAGCACTTTAATACCATCATCTTTCAGGATTTTAAACACCTCAGGGAAAATTCTGTCACCTCTCCCAACCTTCTTGTTAGCAATGCTTCCTAAGGACCACTTGACTTCCTTCTCCAGGATACCCAGCTCCAGATTAGTAACCACATCATCATGGTTCTTGGTGATGTTCAGATTTTTCCTGTATAGTTCTTCTGTGTGTTCCTGCTACCTCTTCTAGTTCTGGTACGTGCCTGCCCATTTTTTGACATTTCCCCCCACTGCCTCTTATTTTCTTGAAGACATGTTTTTCCCTTTCTATTGCCTTTCTTCTATTTCTTCACATTGTTCATTTAAGAAAATCTTTTTATCGTTCCTTGATAAAGCTGGAGGCGCAAACATTAGGGTGTTAGGGTTAGAGTTGGAGGCACATTTGGGTCATCTGTTATCCTTTTATTACCGTCCATAGGTTTTCTTGGCAAAGATACTGGCGTGGTCTGCCATTTCCTTCTCTAGTGGATTACCTCTTGTCAAGACTCCTCACGATGACCTTCCCCGTCTGGCATAGCTCACAGTCTCACTGAGCTACATGAGCCTCTCTGCCATCGTCCGGGGGCATAGTGAGGAGCGGAGATATGACAGCTAACCTTAAAGACCAACTTATAATCTAGTAGGGGAAATAAGGAGACATGGATACAAACAACAATAACTTAAGACAACGCTGGGAACGTCATGACAGATACAAAGCACCATAAAAGTGCAGAGAACGGAGAGATGATTTCTGGAAGAGCTGGTGTACAAGCTGATCACTGGCATGCTACGTATGGCATTCATGTGCAGAATTCTAGAAAAAGGCATTAGAGACAGGGCAACCACTGAAAAAATATTTGGGCTGAGAAAAAAGTCCAGTGGGTATCCAAGAATGTGAAGTGTTTTATGGTCAAACATACACAAAGGTAGATAGTGCCCAGAAAGGGGGGCTAGACCTTTAGAATAAGGAGTTTAGGCCAGGTCCTGTAGGCAATGGGGGAAGTTACAACAAGTTTCTGACCAGGGGAGGGAAAGGCCAAAGCTGCATTTAAAGTAAGAATGCTGTAGTGGCTGGGCAGAAAATGGACTGGAGTCAGACACAGGAGGTGTGGAGCTGGATCATAAGAAAACATCTGGCTTAGGGAATAAGAAGGAGAATCATAGATTGAGAGCTGGAGGTGAGCTCAGGCCACTTTTTGCCAACAAAAGCATGACAGAGGTGGATGAACTGCTCAGTCATGAAGGTGCTAATGAGCAGAAACCTCATTCTCTGACCCCAGGTCAAGTCCTCTTTCTACTTTATCATGTTGCCTCAGATGCTAGAACTATACAAAATTTGTTCACTGACTGGTCAAAATAAATGTTACAAAACATATTCTGATACTGAATTCATATAAACGAATATTCTGACCCTAATTCATATAAATCTGGTCAGAGGTAACTAACCAGAAAGTGTAACTGTGTTCTGACACTTTCTGACTGATAGATGCAAGCTGAAAGCCAACATGCCTTCACAAAGCAGTTTTTGGGCAAGTATTTGCCTTGATAAAAACACTTACCTGTCCTTGTTTCCAGCACTGCTTGAAAAGCTTCCAATTATCAAGATTCTTGTGATCTTGAAGCCACAAGACGCGTTTCTCACACATCCATGTGTGTGGCACATCCCTGGACACTCGATCACGCTCGTCCACAGCAGCTGGCTGCAGTTGATCACGCTGGTCCACAGCAGCTGGCTGCAGTTGATCACGCTGGTCCACAGCAGCTGGCCGGCCATCTTCAGGATCTCTTCCTGTTCCTCCTCCTAATCCTCCTCCTAATCCTCCACCTAATCCTCCACCTAATCCTCCACCTAATCCTCCTCCTAATCCTCCACCTAATCCTCCTCCTAAACCTCTTCCTAATCCTCCTCCTAAACCTCCTCCTAATCCTCCTCCTCTTCCTTCTATCACTTTTATGATTTCTACCTCATCTGTATCATCTGCATCATCTACATCTTCTACTTCTTCTCCTTCTTCTTCTTCTTCTTCTTCTTCTTCATCATCATCATCATCATCATCATCATCATCATCCATCGTGGAGGCTTTATTTGGTGGAATCTTGTTTTCAACAACTGAAGCAATGATGTCATCAAGAATGTTTGGCACAGTCCTTCCACTTTTGCCACTCTGTAGGTTAAAAAAACAACAACAAACCAAAACGCAATGCACATCAAAGCACTTTCTTTAATATGTTCATCTTGAGAAAAGATACTTTAAAATACATCTAGAACAATTAGTGCTCAATGGCAATTAGGTAATTATAAGCAGTCTGTAACTGCATCCTTTTTTGGGCACATAATTAAAAAGGAACTTTTGATAACGTCCCTAACTGGAAGGTTCTACAAAATGCAGTTTTAAGTGTCCTCAAGTTAAAACAAAATGTGCTGCACAACACAAAATAGGAATGGCCTTTAAGAGTCTGGTAATTTAATTTCATGATTATTTTACAGAAATGCTGTGAGTGTAGTTCAGTTTACTGGTAAAACTCAATTTCGAAGGCCTTGAAAAATGCTAAGTCATCTGGCAACCAACTCACTGGGGCTCCTGTAGAATATACCGGCGCAAAGGCGATGCCTGCATCCGTAGAGCCGAGACGCAGCTTGCCTGCCGTTGTGGTCAGCAAGTCCCGCAAGGTGGATCCTTGTTCATTGCTCTGGGATGCAGCAGGGGGAGTTTTGCGGTCTGGAGAATCAGAGTTATCTTGATCACTTTCTTCTTTCATAGGTTTTTCAAGGGGACATTCCTTGTTTTCTGAAATCAAATATTTTGCAAGCTTTTTAATATAATTACGACATTAAGTACAAGTATCACTGAAACTTGTACCCTTCATTTCATGGTGGGGGCTTTAATTCCCCTGAAAACACCCCAGAAGGGGTACCAACAGTCTGAACATGAGAAGATTTGCCAACATCTCAGACGTTCAGTTTGAGTTTGTGACAAATCAAAGGTGCTACAGCTAAGTGGCTACGGGGTGTGTGTGGGGGGGGGGTCACAGGTGTGATCCACTGGGACCCCTTCGGGCACACACAATTACAAGTGAGTCTTGAGCCACTGTTCACACCACCAGAGGAAAACACCTATAGCATAAGTGAGTAGGAAACATACTGACATTTAAAATGTCACGTTAATGAAAGACAAATGTTTGTTACTCTAGAAAATTAATGTTAAATGGCCCTACCCTCCTTCACATACAATGTAATTAAGGGTAATTACCTTTCTTTTCTTCTCTGGCCTTTTGTTCAGCAAGATCTGCTAACCAGTGTAGCGGGGACTGGGATTCTGGAGGAGTTAACTTGCTGTCTGTGCTTGTGTCACTTCTGGGGCTGGTATTACCATTAGTCTCAGACTTCAGAGGGGAATTCTGCTGCTGAGACTCAGGCATGCACAGAGAAATTGTGTTATTGTGATCAAGAACATTCTGCAAAACCTACAGGGCAGAATAATTAACTTAAAAAATATATAATCTCCAATCCTATAAACAAGTTACACATTAGTGGTTACACTGTCTTACCTAATAATTTACACAACAGCATCACAAATCAATAAAGCACTGTCATAAATATGGGACTGAAACCATGAAAGCTGATTCATCCAAATAACAAATTTTAATAATCAAAGACAGTTCACTCACCTGAGACGATCCACCATTCACTTCAGGAATTGTCTCAACTTGTACATTTTGCTTGTCGGAACAAAGGCAATTAGATTTAATATCGAATTTTTCTCTAAGATTGTGCATCGCATCTAGAAGATCTGTCAAAACTTCAAAATAAAGCAATAATAAAAGAAAAGAATGATCACTTATTTTTAAGACTATAAGAGCTACTCTAAAAACTACTCTTTACATTTAGATCTGGGCCCCTTTGTCTTTTTGCATTGGGTCTCATCTGCTGTGCAATGGGAGAGGGGATGTAACAGACTGCACAAAGACATCACAGACTGTAACATAGTCTTAATGCAGTCTCTCTCGCCTTGACTGTGTCCTCTTCCAGGTGCCTCCCAAGTGGCTTTTCCTTCCATCCCTGTAACAATCCTTTACTCTGCACCCCACGTTCAGAACTTGGCTAATGTCTTTGCTTCTTCCTTTTTTCCTGGCTTCTCAAGTATGAAGCGCCCCCTGCCCCCCCCCTGGGTCCCCAGAGCTCTACAATGCTCTTCATGCTTTGCTTTTCTCTCTCTAACTTAGCCTGGATACCCCCCTTTCAGACACATTTGCCTTTTCCACCAACATCTGCTCTTATCACCCAGTCCTGTTTTCTCTAAGTCCAAATTCCTGCAACTTGCACTGAAGTCTGATGCCTTCTGAGTTCCCCAGCAATCTACACCATGTTCTCTTTGCTCCAAGTAAACTGGATTTCTCAGCCCCCCGATGCCCTTCTGGCCTGCCCCTTGCCTAGTCTTTCTTTCTAAAGCTCAGCTCCAGAACCACCTTAAGGAATAATAAATGACTATGGCCTGGATCAAAGGAAGCTTTCTGTGATCCTTCTAGCTGGAAGTGATCGCCCACTCCCTGAACCCCACAAAACCCTTATCTTCATCTTTCTTACACACTGATTATGTGTCAACTACTTGCCCCTAAGTCTTATCTTGCTGACAGACTTTAACTGTACCTTATCTAAACCCGTACCTCCACTGGTCCTTTGTACATAGTAGGCACTTGATAAATATTTACTACAATGAACCCTCCATTCTATTCTGCCACTAAACACAGGGCAATTAACATGTGACTAAAAGAGCCGATTATAGTTTTAAGCAGTGGATGTTTTTTTCTTACCAGAAGCTGGTATGATCTGAGTTGGCATCAAGTGTTTGTGGTCATGAGGTTGTCCCTTGACACATTTCATCCAAGCATAGAGCTCTTTATCTAGAAGACAACATAATTTCTACTGTAATTTTCAAACATGGCTATTTAATATAGTTTATCTTGGGATGCACATAGAAGAGACCCAAAATGTCCCCTAAACATGAATGCTAGCTTCCTGAATGTTTTAGATGCATTTCTCATGTCTGTGAGTTCCCAAAACACAGTGATAATAAAATATGAAGTGAGTGGCATGCCTCAATGACAATGCTTATAATACCAAAGTTAACATGTGCGTCTTCTACTTTCCTTATGATGTCTTAGCATCTCCCTTTTGACCTTCCCCTCACTTTCAGCACTTAATCTGGGGTTATGAATAAGTTCAAGTATACTATTAATCATCACAGCATTTAGAGCTGAAAGGAAACTGAGAGACAATCCAGTCCAACACTTCATCTTCCAGATGAGAAACTGGAGGCCTGGAGAGACAGAGTGAGCTGCCCAAAGTCACATGGAAGTAAAGAAGCCAGGACCCAAGCCTAGACTCCACTGACTTCAGAGCCATTGCTGTTTCCGCTCACTGCTCCAATTATTCCTCTTCCCAATTCCCCAGCTGAGCAGGGGTCAGTGAAGCGGCTGTAGGGGGCCATTACCAACATCAGTCAACAAAGTTAAATGTTACTTCAAACGACCAGTGAAACTGACAAGGAAACAGCCACGGAGATGGCTATCACCTGTTCTGGTGGCTTGGTGCCAACCTTTTCACCAAACCAGGTAATGTGCCACGAGTTAGTCCAGCTAAGGTAAAGCATGGGGCTGATGTAGTACATCCATGGCACAGATATTCAGCCCACTGAGTCCACCCAAAAAAAAATTCTTCCAAAGATAAATTATTTTCCAAAGTTCTGAGTTAGCATGATTTTAATCAATATCACCTACTGAGATTTAAAGAAAATGACTTATTGCTGTCATCTAATTATTCTCCCAACTCCATCAAATCCATATGAACGGTATAAAATGTTGTAATTTTTGTAAAGACACATGCTAACTTTAAATATACTTCAAATTCTTATGACCATAATCCTCAACGGCTCCTTAGCCAAACTGACATACTGACCTTTGACGTATCGACCCTATTTACTGGCGAGGCCCAGGACACTGACAAATTTTATCAAAATAATAAAATATCAGTCATTATGAAAGTAAGAAGCCTATATGGTCAGCTGAGAAAGAGTATACTCATAATATTATTAGGGCAACTGCCATTTTTTTTTTAAAGAGTCTTTTTTTTTTTTTAAGCGATTTTGAGTTCCAAATTGTCCCCTCCACTTTGGCCCTCTCCCACCCACTGAGAATGCAAACATAAATGTGATAGCCATTATTCAAATGAAGTCATGCAAAAAATATTTCCGTTCTTTCAAAGGTGACCATCATATAAGGAGTGGGATGAAACTCTCAGTGGCCAAAACCCTTTTCCATGGTTTACATGCCTCTACCCCGTTAGTCTTTTGCGATTGCAATCAGTTAACAATGACATCAGAAAAAAGCTCCGGACAAACAACTGGATGCTTCTGCCTCGGGATCAGAAGCCTGGCTTCCCACGAGGCCTCACCTGAGTCTGTCCGCTTGCTGTCTTTAACAGCCACTTGAGTCTGAACCCTTCCAAAGTCTGGGATCAGCCATGTCCCCTGGAGCAGCTGTTTTAAGGACAGCTATGCTGTCCTGTACCTACCAAAACATATTAGCCAGGAAATGCAGAAATGTTTTCTTTCTTTTGGGTGAGGCAATCGGGGTTAAGTGACTTGCCCAGAATCACAGAGCTAGTGAGTGTCAAGTGTCTGAGGCTGTATTTGAACTCCGGTCCTCCTGACTCCAGGGCCGGTGCCCTCTCGCTGCCCCAGAGATGTTTTCTTTAAAGGTGAACATGCCAATCACAAAGAACCATTTCACCTCACTGGCATGAAAACAAGACCTGGATCCGGGATCTTAAGAGCCTGCCCACAGACCCCAGCTCCGTCACTGTGACTTTGGGGTAACTGCTTAACTTCTCGGAGCCTCAGTTTCTGCCTATATAAAGTAAGATTGGAAACAGATGGCCTTTGCATGCCCTTCCAGCTCCTGATTTATGATCCTACTATCTTTTTCCAAAATACATACCCCAAGATTTCAAGGCTCCTAATTCTAGGCCTTCCAAGTTTCCTAGGGTTAATCTTTTCCTATTTAAACAATAAGTGCTTATTGAATTTCCCTACCTTATTTCAATATGTGAATATTAACAGTTAAACTTCATTCTGAGTTTCTTTTACTATCTAAGGCACCTCCAATTATATCAACAGGCAAGATAATTTTAAATCACTATATACTTTGGTGAGGTTAGCAGTATACAATCCATTTCCTCAAAGCTTCCTCCAGATTTCAAGGTTCATTTGAACATTTTACTCCAAAATTAAGAAAGTGTGGAGCAGAGAGATTAATGACAGTAGTCATTATAATCTTTCTGATAAATACTCCTCAACTTAGCTTTCATAAAAAACAGGTCAGAGCTGTTGTTACTGAATTCTGACTAGACACGCCTTTAATTCTGTAATTAAATGGTACCAATAAGTCAGTCACTCAAATGTTGCTATTTGCTAGAGAAAAAGGCTCAGCCTATAATGAAGTCACACCAGAAATTATCTAGTACAAATCAGGTATAAAGAAAACATTTTTTTTTTGAAGCCACTAGCTCTTAATAAGGTTGTGTGGATAAATAAGTTTCTGAAAAGGGGACAATCCTGCTTTCCTCAATGGAGAAAGATGTTATAATTGAAGACAGAAAAACAAGAGTTGGAAAATTAGCTCTATGTCCATCTTCATATGTGTAAGACTACATGTATTCACGGTAAGAAAAACATGCCTGGCTTTCTCTGTCAGCAATTCTAAAACACATTAGAATAAAATCGTGCATGGCACTCTAGGTCAAGGGTTCTTAACTTGGTGGGGGTCCATGGATAGATTTCAGGGACTCCATGAACTTGGAGGGGAAAAAAACATTACATCTTTATTTGAATGTAATTGGTTTCTTTTGTAATTCTACACATTTTATTTTATTAATTTAAAAACATGAGTCTGAAGACCATCAGCCTCACCAGATTGACTGCCTGAGGGGTCTATGGCACAAAAAAGGTTAAGAATCCATACGAGTTCATGTTATAAACTGACCTCTTGAACTCTTCCTTTCTTTTGCTTTATAACAATCTAAGCAGACCACAAATCCACATTTTTGGCAGACCCAATGAATATTAAACAATGTGGCTTCACACGCATCACACATCTCACGGACGCCTCTCACTGCTCTTTTCCAGGCAATTTTGGCTGAAATGCAGAATAAACAGAATGAAAGTACAGAAATCGAAAGGCAAACATCTGTGTGATATAATGCAGAAGTGATGGATAAAGCTAATGCAGACCAATCACAACTTTCTACAAGTTATCAATTCTTTACAGGAATATTCATAATCACACATGAGCAGAATGTTTCATAGCTTCCATCACATGCACCACAGATTCAAAACTCGCCCACCTAATGATTGAGAACAATGATTTCTCTATCAGACAAATGTATGCGTAACGCCGTTCAGAGTGCTCACTTCAATCCAATGGTAAACATTTATTAAATGTCTACTACGTGCCAGGCACTGTGCTAAGTACTGGGCATACAAAAAGAGGCAAAAGGCAGTCTCTGCTTTCAAGGAACTCACAAACAAATACATACAAAGCAAGCTATAGACAGGAAATAACAGTGATGTTAGAAGCATAATCCTCTAATTCTACACTGAAACCATATAACATTATGACTTCATGAATCATAAAACCACTGTATATTCAACCTCATAAGGAAGACACAGAGCATACTGTTGTTCAGTTCTTTGAGTCAAATCTGACCCTTTGTGACCTCATTTGGGGTTTTCTTGGCAGAGACACTGAAGTGGTTTGCCATTTCCTTCTCCAGCTTATTTTACAGATGAGGAAACTGAGGCAGAGCACGAAGTGACTTGCCCAGGGTCACATGGCTACTTAAGTATCTGGGGCCAGAATTGCACTCAGGAAGATGAGTCTGACTCCAGACCCAGCACTCTATCTGCTGCACAACCCCGCTGCCCATAGAGCATATTAGGAATACATAAATATAAGCCTATGAGGCAATGACATTGCCCCAAGTAAACAACCTGATGAGACAAGATTTACGGGCACATCCCTATAAAGAGCAGAAAGCAAATTAGGAAGAGTAAATTCCTGGAAACTATAATAAACACAATTAATACAACTTTTAAAAGTATTAAAAATCCTTACCATCTTTTTTCACCCAGGACAGCGCTGTTTTCTCTGATGTCACTAACTGACAAAACTTGTCACCTATGATACTCAAGATGTATTTGGAAGTCTCTAAGTCTAGTTCATCATCATCGTAATTCTCATATGTCCATAAGCTCAGAGCTTCATCGTCATACTGGTCAGGAGATGAGAAGCCATCTATTCTGACCACTCCGTTTTTACTGAATGACAATCTGAAACAAATGATAACAAAAGGGTTAGATCGAGGGAATAAGAGAAAACAACTCAAAATGTTTATTTAATGTAAAAGGGAAACAGAAGAGCAGAACTAATTTGGTTTATCTTTCACAGAAGCAAAAAAGCGGGGAAAAAGCAATGTAACTAGTAAGTTCAGTTTACGTGAATTTCATGCTACAGAATCATTCAATTTGCAACTTGGAAGTGACCTCAAAGTGTTTCTATATTATCAGAGCAAAACACAAATGCCACCCATTTTAGCCCATTATAAAAAATGCTTTTATTCTACATGGCACAGACCAAATTGTCCTTAGCGTTGTTCTAAGACAGAATGAAAACTATGCCAACTTGACAGTTTAGAAAAAGCTAATTGTGGGTGAAATGACGTTTAGAGCAAATGAACTAATTCAGGAATTCCAGAGCTGACATTCCGTTCCACTTAATAAGCATTTATTAAATGCTTCCCATGTGTAAGGCACTGGAGATGGAAAGAAAAAACGAAAAACAGAAGCTACTGGAAGCGCTCTGTTGACTAGAGGATATATATAACATGCAGAGTCACAAGTCAGCATGAGATAAAACTGAGGAAGGAAAGAGCACTAAGCAGAGAAGTCTCCGGAAAGCCTTCTGCTTAGGGATGCACCCCAGGTGAACTCTGAAGGAACTGAGGAACCTGAGGAAGGTCTGCATTCCACATGGAGGGGGCAGTCCAGGTAAAGGCCCAAATAAGGCAGACGGAATGCCATCATTCTAAGAACGCATGATGGACAGCAGTGTGAAATAAGTCTAGAAAAGTAGCCTCAAGTCAGATTGCAATGTGCTTAAATGCTAAACACAGACGTCTGTGTCCCATCCCAGAAGCAAGACGAAGCCAGCAGTTTGCTCAGGGGAATGCCATTAGTTAGACCTGTGCTGTAGGAATATTAATTTGAAAGAGGAGAGCTGGAAGAAGGAGCCCAAATAGAATACTTGAACATGGGTGGTGCCTATGTGACTGAGAAGAGGATAAACGTGACAGCTGTTATGGAAGTAGAACTGAAAAGACTTTGGCAAATGACTGAATAATGAGAGAAGGAGAGGAAGGCAGAGAGAGTAAAGATTCAAGACTTTCTTTGATGTTGGAAACTAGGGCAACTGAAAGGGATGGTGGTGCCCTCAATAAAAAGAATGGCAGGGGGGAAGTTGGGGGCACAAAATGACACAAGTTCTAGTTCAGATACTGTGAATTTGAGGGGTCCAAGGGAAATCCAGGTAATGTCCAACAAGTAGCTGGGTGATATGCAAACAGAGCTCAGGAGAGACCTAGGAGCTGGACTGGTAGATCTGGGAGTTATCTGCTTAGGGACGACTGAATTCAAGGGAGCAATGAGGTTACAGACATGCAAATGGGTTCAGAAACAGAATCTTGAAGGTACTTGCAGTTTATGGGCAAGACGTGGAAGGCGATCTAGCAAGCTGCAGCGGCTTGCTTTCACCGCGAGAACAACACCCAGCCTGCTGCGTTTAGCATTTAAAACCCTTTCCAATGTGACTTCAAGCTACTTTTTCCAGAGTCACTTCTCACTACTCTCCATCATCTGGTCAAACAGGTAAAAGGGAGACGTTAAGAGGGAGCACCACCACAAAGACTGCTGGAAGAAAAAGAACGCAGCATGTGGGAGAGAGTCCTTGGACCAGATTTAGGACTGGAAGGAATCTTCCAGTCTGTCGAGCCCAGTGTCCCAAGAGCGAGTGCCTGGTGCAGGACTGGAATCCAGCTCTTCCTGACATCAAGGCCAGCACTCTGCTTATGGTGAAGGCTCGTCTCTTTGGAGCGAGCAGTCCGAGCAGAGCAGTGGGGTCAGAAGTAAGACAGTTGTCAAGAAGGGGAGGCCTGGAGGGAAGACAGTAAAGGCAGATGTGTTTACGGATAGCAGGGAAGGTGGCAGTACATAAGAAGAGGAGGAATGAAAACTGAGGCTGATGACTGAAGGAAAAGATCCAGAAGGAGATAGCGAGTGATGGGCACAAGCAGAGGGGCTGGCTTTCAGGAGAAGAGCAGCCCTTTTTGTTGAGGATGATATGGAGAGGCCTTTTATTTCTATTCAGAGTTGAGGAGAGAGCATGAGGAATAACTTCTGTGGAGAGTTCAACAGAAAATCAGTCAGAGAATAAGAACGTTCAGGCCCAGCTGGGATCAGATCACGTATCTGTAATGGAGACAGCAACCGGGTGATTTTCTTCTGCAGTTAGTAGTTCAGGGCTAAAACATGAGGAGCAAGAGAACAAAGATACGGGGGATTTAAGGGGAGAAGGCAGTATATAGCTGAAATTATATGAATTATAGGATTAAGACTACAGAGTGAGGAAAGTAAGACCAAAGGAGGAATGATGAAGTAGGAGAACAAGGTCACGCTAAAGTACAGTACAGAAGGACAGAAGCAGGGAGAGAGAAGTTAGGTGGTTGAGATTAGAGAGGATTTCTTAGTACTGGACCATGGAGGTTAAACAACTATGGGTGAAACTAGAAAGACTTGCAGGGGCTGATGCAAAATGAAATGTACCATATACAAAGTAACAGCAATGATGTAAGATGATCAGCTGTGAATGAGAATACAGCTCTTCTCAGAAATACAATGATCCAAGACAACTCCGAAGCACTTATGATGAAAAATGCTACCCATTCCCAAACAAAGAACTGATGGTACCTAAACATAGATTCCCTTTATTTTTCTTGAGTTTTTAATTTTTAGTCTATGTTTTCTTTCACAATATGACTATTACGGAAATGTTTTACATGACTACACATGCATAATCTCTGTCAAACTGCTTGCCTTCTGAATGAGGGGGGTTGGGGAGGGAGGAAGGGAGAGAATTTGGAACTCAAAAGTCTTAAAACTGAAGGTTAAAAATTGTTTTTACATGTAACTGGGGAAAAATAAAAATACTAAATAAAAACACCCACACCCACACCCAATTATGCATGACGATGAAACCAAAAGCCGATTCATTTCTGTTGGAAGCAAAAACACAGTATAAGTCACTGGAACTGGCAGGCTGGTTACCGGGAGGGCCAGGGTGCCGCAGAAGGGGACATCAATGTGTATAATTAAGTTCCTAAGTAAAAGGGCAGTGGTTGGGGAATAGAGAAATCAATTAACAGGTCCTTTTAAAATCTACTATGGGGATATAAAGACAACAGTGAAGCAGGTGGGCCCTCAAGGAGCTGACAATCCGCTGAAAGAACAGGTATGGAAGTCTTCAAAAGAGGCGGCAATGATCTGAGAGGTGACAGGTGACTGCAGTAAGAATGTGGGTAAAGAAGAAGGGAACGGAACAAAGATTTATGAAGTAACGCCATGTAAGTGCTTTATAAAAATCTCATTTTATCTTCACACCAGCCTTGTGAGGTAAGTGCTGTGATAATCCCCTTTCTACAGTTGTGGAAATGGAAGCAGACAGAGGATACACGACATTTCAGGTGGGGGCAATCTGGAGAGCAGAGGTGACCCTCCAAGGAGGTAAGGTTGCCAAGGGTTAGTGACACAGGACAGACACTGAATAAAGAGGGATTCATTATGCCAACTTGTTCTTTGGGCTCATTCTTCTGGGAAGCAAAAGGGAAGTACTGAGTACTGGACAGGATGGAGGGTCTTCTGAGGAAAGCCAGGCAAGATGGAAGGAGCACCAAGAAGAACCTTCCAAGACAAAGGAAGAGAAGTTTGTTAACAAAAGAATGACAGAAGCCAGAGCAGGCTAGAAGCGAACAGGAATAGTGGGGCTGAGGGACAGGGAAATAAGGGGAGGAGGTGTCTGGAGAAAAGGGTGTTGGCCTCAGCAGTAGGCCATTCTAAGTCACAGGGTTTAGGAAGAGTCAGAGATTGCTAGCCATAGAACAAATAAGTGGTACTATTTGATGGGGTGGTAATCTATCTATCTCCTTTGGTTTCATTAGATGTAAAACCTTCATCCAAAGATTAAACAAGTTACAGTATACATGCTTCATTTACTCTTCTACTACACAAATTAGTTTAGGGAAAAAAAAAAGAAAAAACAAGTCTTACACTCAGATGACTATTTTGGAAATAAATTTGATTATTTCCTATTATTTCTGATATCTATGTTGTTCTGGGCATTTATGGTTGGCTCTGAATAAGCTCTTCTTTATCCAATTAACTTGTAACTGTGATGGCAGTCATTCTTCTTCCTATCCAAACTACAGACAGGTATCTTTTCACAATGTCGAACGCTAGCGTTGACCTTTCTCACTCTGTGAGAAAGATCTCACTCACTCTCCACCCTCTTCTTCCATATGACAATTACATCACTCTTTTCGACTCTAAGACAGACTTTACACTCAGAGCGAGAAACAGGAGGTCATGCTCTGGAGCAGAGACAATTAAAAGGGTTTCTTTACCTCACTTTCTTTCCCACTTCCCCATTTTCCCCCCAGTTTCCTCCCTGCCACTTTCTCTCTTTACATGACCAGCAGCTTTCCCACATCCCTGAACCCCACCTTCCCCTCCCCTGGAGTCCCCTCCTCCCTTCCCTTGACACTGGCTTGAATTTCGTTTCAGTTGCTGAGACTCTCCAAGCATCATATATTCACTTGAGCTAAACACCCTCTACGTTGTTCTAACTAGTCAGGCTTGGCTAATTAAAACAATCAGATTAGTCTGTTCTTCACCTCTTCGGAAAGACCTATAAATTAGAGCTCATTAATGATTGGATAGCATTTTAATAAAAATGTCCTTTACCCGCTGCTTTCAGAACCAAAGAATGTGAAATTTCAAGGCATACCTCAGGAGCTACCAGTGTGTAGCACATTAAAAACAACCCCCACCCTCCTCTTCCCCAATGCTATATATTGGAATATCGGAATATGCTCTCAATAGTACTTTGCCTACAGATACTACGTGAGGTTTTCGCTTACACCCAAATTAAAAATCACCATGACTTCTACTACAAAGTATTAAAATAATTTTAAATCATTTAATCAACACCTGCCAGAAAGCCACACTCTTACACATGAAGGGAAAATGGCATTTTAAAAAGCTACTGCTGAGAAAAGCATCTACTTCCTGTACTATGCCTAACTATTTTTTCAGCTCAGTACTGTCTTCTCTTTTTGCTTTTGCAAAGTGACCCATTCCAGGTTGGTGAACTGTGTCATGCAAAGGCTTCACTAAAAAAGGCAATCCCACAGAGAAGATAATAACAGTCCAAGGACTCCTTCTGTCCTCCCCCAAGACACAGCTTCCAATTATTTTTCACTCACCGCCGGAAGTAGTAAAATCTACAGAACACTGGCGAGTGTGTTGGCTCTTCCCCCTTCTTACTTCGGATCAGTCTGCACTCTCTGCACTTCTGCAAGTTGGGGCCTATCTCACAGCAGGAGTCGTCCTGCAGAAAGGACTCGCCAGTCTGCTTCAGCTTCTTCACTTTACGCCAGTCTTTCAATACTGAACGAGGGATGCCGGCTGTAAGAGTCACACAGACATGAATGACCAAGACTATGAAGACTAGTTCACTTACACAAACAAAACTAGATTATGACAACTCAAGATAAGTAGCAAAGAAAGCAAATATCAAATAGCCAATTTAAAGGTAACAAATGATTTAAACACGAATCTTACCATTTTACTGCCCATAACGACTGGTCTGACAGTAAAGGTTCTAGAGCAGTGGTGTCAAACCAGGTCACTAATAGTACTAAGGATGCCTTACCGCCCTCATATCGACTTGGAAAACTACACATTAACATTATTTATGTTCAGTTTTATCTTTATTTTGTTAAACGTTTTCCAATACACTTTCAGCAAGACCTGTGTTGACACCGCTACTCTAGATATTAGCGGAACTGAGAAGAATTAGGATATATTTTTTATAAATTTCATGGTCCCATATGGTCGGCACAATAAGTAAAATTTTGAACAATGAAAGGTGTTTATTTCATAGTTTGGACTCTCAGAAGGTTTGAATGAACACATTAGAAAATAGGAGAACTGAGATTCTAAATTTCTTAGAACTGGACCTTGGCATTATCAAATACTCATGTTGTAGAAATAACTTAAATGAACATTAATGGAAATATCCCTTCATATCAACAGTAACTGTAAAATTAAAAATGCTTCCTAATGCAGAAATCTGGTTTATATGTAAGTTACTGATACCTACATATTATAAAGAAAAACATTCTGCGATGTAAAGCACATTAAAGATCATAAGAACACTATTCTAAATACAAAGAACATTTTTTAAAAGCCAGAAGAGAATTCTAATTCCAAAAACTATGTGTTTTGGTCCCGCTTTCCTAATGTTATAATAACTCTTCTAGGATAAATGATGTGTTTTAGTTAGGCAAACGGAAGGAGAAGGGATAAGAAAAAAAGAAGAAAAAACTACAAAGAAGTACACATGTGTATAGTTGGGTATTTTTGCCTCGTTCCTCTTATGTGTGATCCATTGCAAATCAGTGGAAGCAAGACGTGACAAAAATGATAGTTTCTGAAAGCTACCTTAGTTTTATCCAGATTATTACTACCTTTCTAGCTGCAGAAAGAATGAAAACATTCTACATAAGTTAGAAACAAAAGAGCCATTTCATAAATATTTTATTGTCTAGTATTTAAAGGGGGGGGGGAAGCAACAGTTTTAAATACCTATCCAATCTGCCACTTTGATTTCTAATCAATACCAAAACATTTGCCAAATAACTACGTCTTTCTCAAAGTAAGTACAGGCAGGTCCATTAAAGATGCCTTTGAATTAAAAACAAAAAAGATAAACTTTTCAATGTTACTGTTGAAACTTATGTCTCCCATTAAATATAAGCTATATTTTCTGAATCTTGTGATTTCCAAGTTCATTCATAACGGAGAGCAAGACAACATTACAATCCTGAGGGGTTTAACTTGTAGAGTTGACTTTTTCACACAAGCTGAACTGTCTTGGCTAAGGCCTTGACTGAATTTTCCCCATCGGCTGTTAGAGGGAACACTGCAGTTGTGGAAAGAATAAGCTTTCTCATACATGAAGCACAGCGTTTAAACTACAGGGTGGCCCGTTTAATAGAGGCCCCAGTTGCAAGCATTTCTAGGCATGGTGCCTGGATTTCCCTCTAATTTCATGCTCTTCTCTGCTGCCTCTAACTTATGGCAAGGAGCCACTTGGATCTGTCTACTCGGGGTGCGGGTGAGGATCAACCATTGAAAAGGCTCTCAAAGCCTTTCTCTGGGGTTAGCATCAACTGGGCATCGCTTCCTTCCACCATTCAACCTTCAACTGAGAATTCTTTCATGGCCTATACTGTGGCTGCTTAGTTGTTTTTCGGTCATATCGGACTCTTTGTGATCCCCTTTTGAAGTTTTCTTGGCAAAGATCCTGGAGTGGTTTGCCATTTCCTTCTCCAGCTCATTTTTACAAATGAGGAAACTGATGCAAACAGGGTTAATGACTTGCCCAGGGTCACACAGCCAGTAAGTGGTCCCATGCCAGATTTGAACTCGGGTCCTCCTGTCACCAGGACCATGACCCTATCTATTCATAATCTATACTCCAGATCCTATAAACTCAGAATCATAACAATAATGCTTTACTACTGACAGATTTTTAATTTGCCCAATATATCTCCAATTATCTGGATCTCCCCTTTTAACTGTAGTGAAAGAAACGAACTACATAATTTGATTTTCGTTTAGACCAGGAACCAGACTCACAACTAAGTGATTTACAAATAATGCCTCAGTGGTAAAGAGCAGGAAACCACATTTAAACAGTGGCCGTTAGAAAAGGAAGTGGTAATCATGGAGAGTCGGTACAGCTCCATCCAGAACAGGACTAACGTCCTTTCTCCATTTGACAGGGTTGCTTGTCCAAGGAGTGTGATGGCTAGTTTCCTAAATATGAGCTAATAAACATCTGACACGTCCCATCTCATGCACAAGGTGGAAAGATGTGAGCTACATCAATGACAGTGCAGGAAGGTGGATTCAGAGCCAAATGATAAAGTGACCCACACTACTGTCATAAGCAAACAGTAACAACACCCTCAAGTATCTTTAATGAAACCTAAATATAAGTGATGGTATATTCTCATTCAATTTGTGGGCAGGACCAAAGGATCATATCCAGAAAGACTTCTACAGGCTAGCCGGCTGGACAGCACTTAATTCTGTAAATATAAGATGAGGACAGTGTGTGTCTAGACAGGAGCTCATCTGTAAAACGGGGCGGTGGGGCTCAGCTGGCTGCAAATTAGACACGTGTCGGCAGTGTGAAAGTGAAGTCCAAAAGCCATGGGTTCACTGCCTATACATACAAGACCAGGAGTTCACCCAAGGTTAGGGAGGTGACAGTCCTCCTTAACTGCCAGGTCAGACCACATCGAAATGACTGTGTTCAGATCTGGACACCTCTTTTAGGAAGGAACTGGATAATGTAAAGAACACGCAGAAGGCGGCAAAGACAAGTATGGCCATGCGCCCTGGGAGCAGTGAGGCTCAGCTGAAGGAAATGGGGCTGAGGAGCCTGAAAAAAATGGGGATGACAGGAGAGAGTTGTTTCCAAGTGTTTGGAGGGCTAACCAGCAGAGAAGGAATCCTACTGGTGGAGCAATGAGGAAGAGCCACCTCAAAACAGAATGGGTTACCTTTGAAGATCCCTAATTAAAGAACTCCAAAAAAAGGGTGGGGACTTCCTTATGGGCTGTTACCAAGGTAGATTCCTGTTCAGACCCTGAGGTCCTTTCTGCCTCTAAGGTTTTGGTAAAAACTAGATATCTGGTATCTAGATAGAACCAGAGAAGAGATGATCATAAATGATACTCTACAAAGAGCTTTCCTCCCAACAATCCTAGGAGGAAGCAGAAACAGTGTTATTATCTAGCTTCACTTCACAAATGAGAAAGCTCAGGCCCAGCGATAGTCCATGTTTCACCAGAAAGGATCTGTCTAGTAAGAGTTCTTGGAGAACACAGCCTCATCACACTACTTCAGAGATTTGTAATCAACGGTACAAATGAAAAAACAAATGTGATCTCCAGGGTCAGAGACTTCACTGTAGCCATCAAGTTTTAAAAAGGCAAGAGAACCTTTACTGAAGACAGACAGACTGATGAAGCCCTGTTTCCACCCATAAGAACAATCCAGCCTGTCTCTGCTTCCAAGTGATGTCCCATTTTTGGTATTAAATGTTCACGTGACCGCTCGATGCTTAATCTATGCTTCCTCCAGTCCCTTTCCCTTTTTATCAGAAGTGTGGGGCAGATTGGGGGAGGGGTAATCAGAAGCACACACTTCTGAGGAGGGACAGGGTCAAAATAGAGAACAGCATAAATGGGGAGGTGGGATAAGATGAAGGGAAATAGAGTTAGTTTTTCACAACATGACTGCTGTGGAAGTGTTTTGCATGACTACATGTGTATAACTTGTATTGAGTTGCTTGCCTTCTCAGTGAGGGTGGGTGGGGAAGGAGGAAGGGAGAAAATTTGGAACCCAAAGTTTTAAAAACAAAAGTTTAAAAAAAATTGTTCTCACATGCAACTAGGAAATAAGATATACAGGAAATGGGGTATAGAAATCTATCCTGCCCTACAGAAAAACTGAAGAGGAAGGGGGGGAGAGATAGAGGGGAGGGTAGATTAGGAGAAGGGGCTTTCAGAATGCATGCCATCTTGTGGTGGGGGGGAGGGATGAGATAGGGAGAAATTTGGAACTCAAAATCTTGTGGAAGTGAATGTTGAAAACTACAAATAAATAAATTAATTTAATTTAAAAAAAAAAAAAAAGGAAGTGTGTACAAATTTATATCTAAAATAAACTTTCCTTTTTAAGGGGCACTTCTTTCCTACCAAAACTCTTATCCCTTGGCACTTACTGGTTATGTATGCAAATTTTGAAAGGCATCTGTTTTGAAACCATAAGATCCCTTCATTGTTAAAAGTGACTATGATATCACTAGCAAACCCTTTAGACAGTGTTTTAAGGTTTGCAAAGTACTTTAAAAATAACACTTCAGTTCATCCTCACAATCACCAGGGGAGGAAGGTGATAGTATCTTTATTCTACAGGTGAGGGGTTAAATGACTTGGCTAATAAGTATCCAAGGCCACATTTGAACCCAGGGCTTTCTGACCCCAGGTCAGATAATGCCACTTTCCCAAGACACACTTATTAATTCCTTCATGCTGTGTATTTTTGCCCCACACAACTCCTTACTTTTTAGATTTTAAACTGAAACCCTAGCAGTCTACTTACATCAAAAATTTAGAGATAGCAGTTCTGGTTCAAGAACTAGGACAGAAGGGAAAGTAAATTCCAAAGAGAGGAGGAGAAAGAAAGAGAGAGAGAGAGAGAGAGAGAGAGAGAGAGAGAGAGAGAGAGAGAGTGTCCCGCCCCCTACCCTCATTTAAATTGCAAAGAGTTCAGCCTTTTATTCTGTATCTTCTTAAAGAAAAATTACAACAAAAAAAATTACAGCCATGAAAATGTTAAGATCCATTTCACTAATGAATGACATGGATACAGCTATTAGATCAAGTTCAGTAAGCATTCAGACCACAGAATGCAATCCAGAACAAGTAAAAAGGGGCAAGAAATACAGTGAAGAAAACAGGGGATAAAAAAAAACCAATGTTCATGTGTTTCTGGAGATCATAAAGGTGTGTGGACAACACCCCCCCCCGCAATTTCTCTCTCTGCACTCAGTTCTTGCCCTCAAACTGCTTTTTGCTTAGTTAGGCCTGCTACGGCTTAGGAAGGCTTAACTGGGCTCCAGAAGGGGACAAATGATTATGAATTTGACCACAGACACATCAACGTCTTCCTGCAAACAGTTCCGATTTGACTTTGTCTCAGAAGTCTGTGGGGACACAACACAAAAGCAATATCCAGTCTCGACAACAAAGGTACAAAATCTAGCACAACAGGCTTCACACATATGGTGTGTTTTTTAAATATGAAATATGTGAAGGTCAAATCTAGAGTTCCATTCAATTCAATAAATACTTACTGAAGACTCTGGAGAGTTGCTTTAAAAAAAATTCACCTCTGACCCAGAACTTTGAACCCCTTTGGGGATATGAAACAAAAAGCATGTGACCCAGTAAGATAACAATAAAAACTGTTTATGATTAAGTGGTAAAATAAATGGACATCTCTTCTCTTTCATTGTCTACTACCATATTTCTGTGACTCCACGTGAAACTGTCTCCTTCGGATTTTTCTAACTGTCTCACACTCCCTTTGCTCTCTGAAGAACCCATTCGTTGAGGAGGTCCAAGAGGAGCTTTCACACATGGCATTGCTTCTGGAAGCCCTGAGCCTCCACATACACTTGCTATATATACTGCATACAGATGGATGGCTGGGTCGCGCAAGCACAGTGCCACAAAAAGGCACATGTCTACATGACCAAGCACGCCTTTCTTTCTTCTTGTTTAAAGCTAAATTTAATGAAATTAAGAGTAAAAATGCACAGAAACACTTATCAATAAATGTTAGCCATAATTTATGTTCAGCTTGCCCTGTCAACAAAAAGTATTTTCCTAATCAAAACAAATAATTAAAATTATCTCTAATGCCATGAGTACACTCAAACTAAAAATCTTTTTTCATATCAAGAATGGTTCAGCAAAATCATTAGCTCTAAACATGCTAACTATGAATTTAAATGTCAGGTTTTTTTAAAAATCAAGTATTTATGGGTCAAAGAAAACTACATCATATCGTTATATTAGGCAATACCAACTTACAGTAACACAGATGAAAACTGGGATCAGCTTAACATCAAACACATTTTGTTTTCATTAAGAAAGGGAGTAACGTCTTTTCATTTCCCTTCTCCTGAACCACAGGATAGGAAATGCACCCTGGCAACAAAGGATGAGGGAGCTGGGCAATACACGTGTGCCCCGTCCACACAGAAGGGCTGCTTTGCACTGTGGAAGTAGCGAGCCCCGGCAAAGCAGGAGGTGGGCGGGGCTGGGCTCCTCCACCCGCCCCCTCCCCGCCGGGCTGCCCAGTCCCGCCCACCCCAAGCCGGACGACACTGCAGTACTCACCATTGGAGCTGCTGCTTGGCAGCTTGAGCTTGCTCTTGTCTCGAGAGCTCCGGATGAGAGCCCCGTTAGGCCTGGCTTCCTCCTCGAGCTCCCCCTTTCTCTTCTGCAGATCGTTCTGCTTCTTCTTGTATGTTGGCTTGGGCTGGCGCTTGGCCCTCTGCTCAGCCTTGCTCTCGTCGGAGTCTTCACTGTCAGAGACAGACTCGTAATGCCTTTTCATCTTCCTTTTGCCGGCTCTATCGTCTCTGGCGGGTTTATCTTCCAGGACCGGACTCTCCCCACTGCTCTGCATCTCACCCGATGTGGAGGCCATTAAATTGACCGAGCACGGCTTAATGATCTCTGAGACGGTGTTTCCTGAATTCTCCACCCTGTTGCTGTTTTTATCTTCCTCGGAATGTCTGGTGAGCCAGGCCTTTTTCAGCTTGGTGTGGTAATTGGGCTGACTGGTCTGGGAGTTCTGCCCGCTGCCTACAGCTTGTGCCTTGTTTGCCGAACTGCAGGTGGCAGGACTTTCAGGGCGAGCGGAAGCTGGATACGTTTGGCTGCTTCCGGCACTCGGCTCAGCCTCGTTGGCATTACCACCTTTAAACTGAGCTGCGGCCAACGCAGCCTTATGTTTTTTTAAGTGGATAAAATCGGCCGCGTTGGAGAACTCGGAGCTGGGCGGGGCCTCCCTGCCTGTCTTGCTACTGACTGCGGTGTTTGAAATTATGGTGCTGACTCTGCATTCCTGTACGTGGGCTGTCGGCTGGACGACACTTCTCGAAGTAGACGGTGAGGATGTGGGTGTCAAAACTGTATTTGCCAGCGAATATATCACATCTGCACAGCTCCAGCTGGAGTCACTGGTGGTGGGGAGGGGGGCGGGGGCGGCAGCGGTGGGGGTGGCGGGAACGGCGGCGGCGGCGGCGGCCGCGGTGGCGGCGGCAGCGGCGGCTGCGGCGGCGGCAGCGGCCGGTGTTATGTTCTGTTTGGTGCCACAGATCAAACCAGGAGTTGCAGGCTTGATGATGGAGCTGGCAGTGCGGCCCTTGGGGGTGGCCTCAAGCTGCTTCTCATAGTGGGTTGGAGGAAGGGTCAAGTTTGAATTGGGAAGAATAACTCTCCCAACCTCTTGGGCTTCCACTGGTTTCCAGATATCGGCTGGATTTGCCCCAATTGAAGATCTCTCACTCCCTCGCTCCCTGGGAGCCGGCTGCATTGCTGGCACGCTCTCGTACTTTCCACTCGAAGGGGGACACACGATGACAGATGCTGTGGCAGCCGGTGCCTTTCCGCTGCTTTTCTCTGCATGCCAGGTCGCTTTCTCATTGCCAGGGGCACTAGGAGATCTCCACATTTCAGACAAATTTTGTTCAGAAGCATTCTTGAAAGTTGCCTGAGCGTCTTTTAGCTCAGGTAGTAGAGTTGGAGGTTTCTGTAATTCCTGGACTTTCCCCCCAGCATTTACTGGCATAACTGGAGTTAAGGTGGGAGGGGAAAGGCTGCTATAGGTGCTTTCCTTTCTATCTGGACTGGGATGGATTGGTGGATGAAAAACTGGTGCTCTATGTAATGCAGGCATACTCCGGATTGGATTCGAGGAAGAAACCGCCAAATGGTTAGGACTCCGACAGTCATTTCCAAAAGCAGTTACGGAGTGAGACGGCATTTGCTGGGGAAGCTGTTCCGCTAGCTTGCTTCCCAAGCCTTCACCTTCTGGTTGGTGTTTAATCAGAGGTGGGGGCTTTGAAAGTGATGACATACATGAAGTCAGGACTTGAGGATTGGCTACTGTTGAGGGGTTGTTATTCTGCTTATCAGTGAACAGAGCAGAGACTTCTTTGGGTGGGAACCGCGGAGGTTCATTGACAACAGTGCTGGATATGGTGGTGAAGTAGTTACTCTGAGGTGCAGAGGGCTTCACACCAAACAGTTCTGACACAGAGCGGTCCCCGTCTTTGTCTTGTTTGGTGGTTTGACTTTTTGCGCTGGCAGAGGACAAAGGAGTGCTTCTGGAATAGCTCTCTCCGTCTCCATCCAGAGTCATCTTGTCCGCGAAGGGAGTGACGTCATCGATGCTTTCTTGGAGGACCCTTCGGCTTTCCTCATTGTACTTGCTCATCCTGTCTCCAGTATCCTGAATTGGCCTCTGGAACTGACTCATCATTTGATCCACAAAAGGTCTCGGTAACTGACTCTCTTTTACAGCTGGGATCAGATCCAAATCACTCTTGACTGAAGTGGAAACAACAGTCCTGAGAGGGTCAATAAAAGCTTTCCTCTCCAATTCTCTGCAAGGGTAAAACCAGACACGGAACATTCTTAAATCATTTTCTCTTACATAAAAGTTTCTATGTGGTATAAAAAACAAGCTGTCATTTCAGTACGAACATTCTTGACACATCCCATAATGGTACCCAGTAAATCAGAATGTAAATTAAAACAGAAGGAACTGAACTTTTTCAAAGTCCAACTTTAGAGTATTAACTTTAAATGTCTTGGAAAAAAGGAAGCACATAAACATAAGGTATTTAAAAGTCTTAAGCACTGGCAAACTTACTCTTTGGGATGATGATCTACTAACGCTTTTGACAACGATGGGCCAGAATGACCTGTCATGTTAAGGGGCCGATGAGGATCTGCACTGGATGGCCTGACAGGAATGTGACTTGGTAACCCAAGACCGTCAGCAGAGGTCACAGGGGTAGGCTGATGTAACCAAGGATTGGGAGTATTCTGTTACAAAAAACAAATCAGACTTCAGTTACCACAGGGAGCTAAACATAGTAGAAGAGTAGGCCTGTAACAGAGGTACGTATACAAAAGAGCATAAACTTTTAACAGATCACGTGCACCGCGAAATCTTGTGTCTAAACTGATTTGCCACATGCATTGAGACATTTGATAAGAAAATATTTACTTGTAAAAATCTTATTAATTTGAACCAAGGGTAAAATAATGGATTAAGTACTTTCATTCATACAGAGAAGATACAGTTTATAAGAAGTTCATAAAATTACCTGGTACTTGAAAAGTATTTAAATAGGAATTCTCATTTCAAGAGAAATAAGAACTATGAACATGTTTGTCATTTGTCACTCCTGGTCTTTAAAATCATCTTTTAATACTGCATGCATTTTACGTATTTTTAAAAATGTATCTTCAAACTCAGAATGAAAACGAGACTAATTTACTGTATACTACACTGTATTGCCAAGAAAATTAAAAACTGAATTAATTTTTCCCATCACACACATAAAGTACATATCTAGAAAAAAAAAGCCTTTCTGTGTCAATCATTCAGTCACTCTTCCATGACGGTTTATGGGTAAGTTGGCAACATGTTTAGATCACAAATCTGATTCGCTATATCTAAGGTAATGCAAAATCAAACTGAGTAATTTACACTTGGTTCTCCAAATGATAACTTTTAAGAGGAATGGCAGAGAACTGGGAGATTTTAGAGCCTATCAATTCTAACCCCCTCAATTTTATAGCTGAAGAGACTGAGGTCAGAGTTTAAGTGCCTTGATTCTAGTACTAAAACAACATGAAACTGAAAAATAAAGCAAGAAGATACAGTGTGGCCACTTAACACAAAAAAACCAAACCAACACCAAACCTAATGGTTCTTAAGAATGGCTCTAATCTGGATCCCCAGTATTCTAGCTGGTCCCTAAAATGACCTATAATCCAAATATTTGAACTTTGTATGATGGAGACAGGAATTTGTTAAGTAAAAAGTCATAATAAAATTTTACTCCTTTCTATAACATTAAAATATACATATATATTAAATGGGAAAAAAAAATCGAGGTCCTGGGGCTGGGAGTGGGTCTCATAAAAATGAAATCTTCACCTTACAAATAATACTCGTTGGATTTAATTTTTATAAATAATGCACCATAAAATTTGATTTGCTTAGTCCCTACTTTTAAAAATACTACCAATAAAACACACACATAGAAATGAAACCATTCTTTACTAATCTATTTTTCTTTCTCATTTTCAGTTTCCACTGAAACCTTCACAAAATGTGGTCACTTGGCCTATGGTTTCAAACTCTGAATTTGAGTAAGACCTTTGCCCAGTCCCCTCTGATCTATAGAGGTCACTTTCCTCTAAGCATAAGCAAAGGATTTAGCAGTTACACAGACTAACTCAATGGGGTCTGTGCAGCCATGTTAAAAATGGCTTTGGGCTCACTGGGTTGCACATCATGGGGACCTTTAAAATAGGCCTAGTCAAGTCACACCATTTTAGGAAGGCAGTACGATAGTGTACGGGGCAGCAGCAACAACACGCCTGCAATTACAGGAGCTCCTCTCTTCGCTTTCCATTGGCCCAGCAGGGCACTGGGCTAAGACCTCAGAGGTTTCTTTACAGCAAGCTATAAACCCCACATCTGGTGTTTCCTGTGGCCAAACTACACTCTCTTCACTATCCTTTTTTTCTCTAAAGATCCCATGTGAACCTTATTTACCACTGGGCATAAACTCACAGTCACTCTGCCATGACCCTACTCCATTCAATCAAATCACAAGAACCATCAACGTGACTTACCCCCCGCAAGGAGGCTTCAGCATTCGCTGCATTGTCCTGTGGGAGCCATTTAGGAGTGGACATGCTGCTCAGTGCCGGGTAGGAAGGGGGCCCATTAGGATACTGCCAAACAACTGGGTAGAGTCCGAGCTGATTATAGGAAGCAGGTGGATGTGCTTGTCCGAGGTGATGAGGTGATGCATGCTGCAGCATCTGCGGCTGCGGCGGCTGCTGCTGCTGCGGCTGCGGTGGCGGCGGCAGCTGCTGCTGCGGTGGCTGCAGCAGAGGCTGCTGCTGCGGTGGCTGCAGGAGAGGCTGCTGCTGCGGTGGCTGCAGCAGAGGCTGCTGCTGAGGTGGCTGCAGTTGCGGTGGCTGCAGCAGAGGCTGCTGTTGCGGTGGCTGCAGTTGCGGTGGCTGCAGCAGAGGCTGCTGCTGAGGTGGCTGCAGCAGAGGCTGCTGCTGAGGTGGCTGCAGTTGCGGTGGCTGCAGCAGAGGCTGCTGCTGTGGTGGCTGCAGCAGAGGCTGCTGCTGTGGTGGCTGCAGCTGCAGAGGCTGCTGCTGTGGTGGCTGCAGCTGCAGAGGCTGCTGCTGTGGTGGCTGCAGCTGCAGAGGCTGCTGCTGTGGTGGCTGCAGCTGCAGAGGCTGCTGCGGTGGCTGCAGCTGCAGAGGCTGCTGCTGTGGTGGCTGCAGCTGCAGAGGCTGCTGCTGTGGTGGCTGCAGCACAGGCTGCTGCGGTGGCTGCAGCTGCAGAGGCTGCTGCGGTGGCTGCAGCTGCAGAGGCTGCTGCGGTGGCTGCTGTGGTGGCTGCAGCTGCGGTGGCTGCAGCACAGGCTGCTGCGGTGGCTGCAGCGCAGGCTGCTGCGGCGGCTGCAGCTGCGGTGGCTGCAGCACAGGCTGCTGTGGCGGCTGCTGCGGCGGTGGCTGCAGCACAGGCTGCTGCGGCGGTGGCTGCTGCGGTGGCGGCTGCTGCGGTGGCGGCGGCTGCTGCTGCGGTGGCTGCAGTTGCGGTGGCGGCGGCTGCTGCGGCTGCTGCTGCGGTGGCGGCTGCTGCTGCGGTGGCTGCTGCTGCGGTGGCGGCTGCTGCTGCGGTGGCTGCTGCTGCGGCGGCGGCTGCTGCGGTGGCGGCTGCGGCTGCTGCTGTTGCTGCGGCGGCTGCTGCTGCTGTGGTGGCTGCTGAGGCGGCGGCGGCGGCTGCTGCTGCTGCTGCTGTGGCGCTATTGATAAGTGGCTCAAGCTGCTGGAGTGAGCAGCCTCTGCTCGTGGGGGGCCACCTACTAAGGAGGCCTGAGGCACTCCAGGTAACACTGTCGGAAGCAAAGGAGAGGGGGCGGAACTGTTCACAGAATGACTAAGAGAAGGCAACTGGTTATGGTTTGAAGAGCCAGGTAACAAGTGGGTAGGGGTACTTAAAGAAGGTTGATGACCACTTGGATTGTGACAAGTTTTGTGGGACGAATGAGGGAAAGTGTGCTGGCTTAAGAATGATGAAACGTGACTTGCTCCTCCTGACTCTTGCCCAGCGAGGGCAGGATCTCTGTAAGCTGTGAAATGGTCATTTTTATCCATAAGAGGGTTCTTGGTGCTTTCTGATGCACTGCCACGAGTGGAAGGGGGATGAAAGCTCGGTCTCGGCAAGTCAAGTTGTGTTTTATTTGTCAACCTTCTCTCTGCAGCGGGTCGGCCACCGCTGGCGAAGCTGGCCTTAGGTTTCGCCACATCGGTGTTACGAGGGAACTTGGCTTGAATGACGTCAAATATGGAACTGGCTTTTGGTTTGACGTGATCTCCCGAAGGAGGGACTTTGGGCTTCGGGGCCTCAGGAGGCGGTGGATTCGGTTTATTCAGTTTGTGGTCTTCAGCTGCATTTCCTGGAGTGCGATACGTTGAAAACGCATCTTTTTCTTTTTCAATAATCAGACGCTCACTTACGGCAAAAGGGTTCTTAAGACTAGGAGCTGCCAAATCCATTTTGTTTGCCATGCTGCTAGCCCAGCTTTGTTCAGGTTCCGGTTTTCTTGTTTCTACATATTGTGGAGTGGAAAACAAAAGTTTTGCGTCACTGCTGTGAGCCTCCATTTTCTGAAGCGGCGGAAAACCAAAGATCCTTGCGGGGTTTTCCTGAGCCGCCTTTTCTGACCCGGTCTCATTTGTAACGTCGATCACACCTTTCGGGGTAGGTGGTGTGGTCGCGAATTGCTCCTGGGGTAACATCTCCACAGCAGGTGCGTTCTCTGGTTGGTGCTCCTGAATATGCAGGTCGCTGACGCTCGCGTCATAAAACATCATCTTTTCTGCGGTGCCCAGAAGAGGGTTTCCTTGCAGCTCAAAGCCGGCTGGCACGAGGTGTTCTGCCTCTTCCGGTTTCTTACCTTCTTGGACTTGACCCCAAAGAGACTGGCTACTTGCTGCTGGTTGCTCTGCTCCCTCACTGCGCTGGGACATTCCTTCATCTCCATTGATATTTGAATCGTTTCTGCTCGCCTCATTTCCCGCATTTGGATTATAAGGCGGGTCTGTCATCCTTTTACTTGAAGTTTCTGAGTCGCTGCACTCAGAATAGTCGGAAACATTGTCTGTTCGAGGTCTTTTTGCGTTTAGATTCTTTTCGTCATCTTCAGTTTTTCTTCTTTTGTTATGAAAGTGTTTATTTTTGCTTTTATGATTTTCTACAAAAAGAGAAACATCATTTTTAGATACCAATAGAGTATAAGCAGTTTTTAACATTTCTATTTTATTTATTTTCCTTATGACTCTCTAAAAAAGGGGGAGTATACTCCTCCTACCTCCATGGCCTAGGCAACCACATTTCTCTTCTCTCTTCTCTTCATCTGCACTACTATCTGAGCCCCTCCTCCTGTTGAGTCGAGGACTTCCAGGCTGCTGCAGGAATAGATTCTGTGTGGTCCCTGTAGCCTGGGAGTTCATAGTTGGTGTTGGGCTACTGGCTTGAGCACGTATAGAATGATCCTAAAGATAGTAACATGATGGTGAACCCACATGGCATGCTTGCATATATGCTGATTAAAGATAAAGAAAGAACACTGGATAATCACCCCACTGGTTATAGTCTGCTTACGTCAACGGCGGTGCTACTTTGAGCAGACCAAGATCTACGGTGTGAGGAGATGCCAATGTCTTCTCCTTTCAACAAAGGGTGAAGAACACCATCAAGAAAGGTCATTTGAACCATAGAAGGATCGACATTCTGTGGTTCTAGTACCTGGTTTATGAAACAACAGGAGAATAATAAGCACTTAAATTGTAGTTACTGAGCAGTGAGTTGTTAATGATTCTTTCCTTCTACCATTACAATACTTGGAAAAAAACATCAAGAAGGACATGTAATCTGGTGTTTGCAGGAATAAAAATGTAACAAGTTCTAAGGCTTAATAATTTCAAACAAATATTATTGTTTCAATCTCCTGCCAGAAAAGCAATATGGCATAATCCTACTCTTTCTAACTAGGCAGCTAGGTATTGTGCTAGTACATAGAGCTCTAGGCCTAGAGTCAGGAAAACTCATTTTCATGAGTTCAAATCTGGCCTTAGACACTTACTAGCCGTGTGACCCGGGACAAGTCACTTAACTCCATTTGCCTCAGTTTCCTCATCTGTAAAATAAGCTGGAGAAGGAAATGGCAAAAACACTCCAGGATCTTTTCCAAGAAAACCCCAAACTGGGTCATGAAGAGTCAGACATGACTGAAAAACAACTGGCATAAAAACTCTTCCAAACATCTAATCAAGAGTTAAAGAAAATTTATCAGTCCCAAGCAAACTCTGAAAATGGATAAGAATCAAAGGCACAAAAGTAAAGTGTTAAGAAAAAATTCACATAAGAAATTAATAACAAAAACCTAACAGAGGATTAGAAGTGAAAAGGTGCGATATGCCAGAAAGGAGAAAAAATGAACAAGGCCCAATTTGGAAGTAAATGAAAGAATGGGTATAGTTAAAAGATAAAAAAGCAAACTTTTAAGTTAGGAAAACATAACAGTAACAGGCATTTATGCAACTACCATGTACCAGGCAAGCACTTAACATGCTGAGCACTTTACAAAAGTATGATCTCGTTTGATGGTCAAGGTAAATGCGGTTATTATCCCTGAGACCAAAATTCAGTGATTTGCCCAAGGTCACCCAGCCAGCAACTGAGGCTGGATTTAAACACTTAAACACAGGGGAAGGCAGAGAATGAGATGGATGTAGTGTCATGTAAGCAGCAAACATGAGCTTGGACAAACTCTGAGAGACAGCAGAGGACAGAAGGGCCAGGTGTGCTATGGTCCACGTGGCACTCTTCATGAAAAGAGTCGGACGTGCCTGAAGGACGACAACAAAAAACCACTTCTTAACTCCAGGCTCAGTGCCCTATTCTCTAACCACCTAGCTGCCTAGAAAAATATTATTCTTTGGCCCTCGAAACAATTTTGTACCTAGGATATTTTCAGGGGCAAAACTGTCTCTCCAAGAAAATCCTTCATGTGCAACTCAACTTTAGGGTAGCTTTCATCTAAATATCACAAAGTACTTTTACACCAAAAAGTTGTGCATGATAACAGAACAAACCATTCTTTTATTTTTATTTTCATTCATTTATTTATGATATGATATACTCCTCTTCACTTCCCATACTCTAGGTGGTAAAGTGACAAATACACAATTTCCACATTACAGGAAAACAAGAGGTTCCAAGTGTGAATGAATATGTCCAAGATATTCCTGAGATCTTAAGCCAAGATACCTAGGTTGTTGTTTAATATATCAAATGAACATTCCACTGTGACCTTAGTAGCTGGCATAAAACTCGTTATGAAAACCAACATCTTTATTTATTCCAAAAAGTACTATAGTACTCATTAAATTACTAGAGAAAGTTAAGCCAATTCTTTGGAAAATGTAATATCTATTGACTAGATGGACAGAAAAACTCAAAACACTGACAAATTTAGATTTTAGTTCCTCTATTTCAGAAACTTATCCAATTAGGCAAGTGTAAACAATTTTCCTGTGACAGGTACACTTAATATAGGAAAGTACACATATTTTAGAACATTTCAATGATAAGAAATTTAGAAATGAAAACCAGAATTAACTTGAGCATTATATACTAGCACAGGATGTTTTAATTACCAAATTCTCTCTTTAAAAATACCGGCTAAAATATTTACCTGGTCATTCCTAACAATCATGGTGTGAGTGAAGAGATCATGGTGAGTAATTATACCAGTAAACCACTGGATGGCAGAATCTTGTCTGTATCCTCTCACTCTATATCAGTTTGAAGAATATGAACCTTTAAAGGAAATACACAGAGAAATTTAGCCAAGTCATGATTTACAAGGGCATTCAAAAGTGCATATGTAGGTTACTGATGTGATATCTCACACACACATACATACACACACACACACACACACACACACACGTATAAAAATATAAAAACAAACTCAGGAAGGCTAATTCCCAGATATTTTGGAAAAGTGCAATTTTTTTCTGATTTGTAGTGATTCTGAGGTTACTTGTATAAATAATCACAGCCTATTCAATTAATGTTTAAGAATTTTACATCAGAAAGTTAAAAAACAGGTGGTTCCTGTAGTAGGCACTACTGGATAAGAGTGCTGGCAGCCTCAGGTTGTCAAGCCTTGCCTCTGACACCTGCCAACTTGACAACTTTCTAAGACTGTAAATTGAAGCATAGGTGCCAATCAACCATGCAATAGATGGAAGTTTCCTCAGGTGGAAATCCTAACAGCAATGAATTTAAAGGTTTGGCTGAAAATAAACAAAAACCACATTTAAATATCATCAGAAATGAGAACAAGAAGGGCCTCAGAGGGAGGCCATCCAGTCCAAGAATAGTAAGTGACCTGTCCAATGTCATTCAAGCAGTGAAGTGTCAGAGAAGTAGTATTTCAACCATGACATCTGGCTACCAAGTCACGGTTCTTTCCACTGCTCCCAAATACCTCCCTAGGAAGAAAATGAAAAGAAAAGGCAGTCTAAAAGCTGTCAGACCAACAGTGGCACATCTGCACATTAGCACTGGAGAAGTAATTCTGAATTTGGTGTAGTGGGTCCTGTAGTTAACCAAGCCTGTGCCCTAAATGACCATGTCTGTCTATTCTATGGAAGCCAGGAAAAGCTGCCATCAAAATAATCTTAATATAATCTATCCATATGAATACACACAGTTGCAGTGCTGAAAGCAATAAATAGGCTTTGGATAAAGAAAATGCTTTGTACTACGTATATTCGAATAGGTAGAATTTTTAAAATGAGATTTAATTCAGTCTTAACTTTCAAAAAAGTAGCGAAAGTTTTAAAAGGATGACATTTCTCTGCAAGAATAAAATGATAAAATGAGCTTCCTGATTAAAGGTGACAGAAAACATAATTGGTAATCAATATCCAAATACACAGCTTTTCACAAACCCCCCCCAACCCAGTTTGTTAAAACCTTTCTTCAGAAGGTAGTTGGATAATGCATAGTATAGTCAGTCTTAAAAAGCAATAAATAAAGTGCTCCAGAATAAAAATGAAAGCACTCTGAGGAGGGAAAGGCCCAGCAAAAGCTTCAAGAAGCAATTAGTACCTGAACTGAGTTCTTAATCTGGGTGCTATTAACTTTAAAATAAATAAATACACACACACACACACACACACACCCTTTTTTTTTTTTTGAGAAGAGTATTTCAAGATAACGGGTTTCCTTTGTAGTTTATTCCATGCATTGTTTCCGGTTAAAAATATCATGCTGAGAACATATCGCCAAAAGGATCCATGACACAAAACAGTGTGTTAAAGAAATGATTTCAGAAAGAGGAGCATATTCTCCATGTGGGGAAAGTTTAGTAACAGAATTAAAATTTGTCATCTTTTTAGTGTAGACCCACTTCTAAATTTTCCTTTTTGGGCTGTGGAAACACTATAATCCGTTATTCAGGTCTTGTAATCTCCAACTCACCTTCAGCATTTTCCTTTCCCTACATTCAGTTGGCCAAATCCTGTCAATTCTAACTCCAGACGGACCAATTCTTGCTGGGCAGGCCCCCCTCCCCGCTCCCTCCGCTTCTTCCCTGTGTGATTATAAAAGACCCCTAATTTGTCTCCCGTTTCAAATCCATCCTTCCCAAGGAAAGTGAGCAGTGAAAGCACAGGCCTGACCAAATCACTCCCCAGACTGAAAATGTTCAATGACTCCCAACCGACACTGGGACAAAATGTAGTTTCCTTACCTTGACATCCAAGACTTAACACTGTCTGGCTCCGACCTAACTTTCTAGCTTTATCCCACCGCGTCCATATAACAGTTTAATCAGGGTGTTTTCCGAACTCAACATGCCACTGCGCCATCTGCGGCCTTGGGGCCACTGCACCATCCATCACACTTGCCTGGAATACTCTCCAAAGCATCATCCCCAAAACTTCCTATTTCTTTCAGGTTGAGCGCAGGTAGCACTACTTCCAAGAAACTCGAGCCGTCTGTCCAGCTGCTTCGTTTAATTGCTCCGGCCCACCTCAGATTTTCGGATGGGCCCTTTATCTGAACAGCCCCCATAACCCTGAGGGCAGGACAGGTCACTTCTGGCTTTTTATCCCCCAAACCCAGCACTGTGTTGTCCATAATGAAACTGGACATTCTGTAAGTGTGTGCCATTTTCCCACAAACCAATGATTTCAGTTTATCATTACAGAAAGTTTATATTCATTTAGATTAAATCTCTACCTTCCTGGCTCTACTACAGTTTTAGAAATGGAAATGAAATCAGATGGCCAGGAGAAGGCAAAATTGCCCTGGTTAGATGGTCACATGTAGATAAACCTATAACTTACAAATAAAAGGAAATCAAATGAACACTGATATATTGTGGCAACTAGTAAGGAAGGCACCTTGGCTACTTCTATCTGATAAAAATAGCTTCATTCAAGGGAAATTACCTACAACTCTGGATGACTGGTCCTGAGGGGGGAAAAAAAGGTCCCTTTATCAAGAAAAGACACACATAGGGTATTCTATAATTTCCCCTTAACAGAATCCTATGTGGCTTTATTCCCATGCCATCAGCTCTGCCACTCAAATACGGCAATAAAGTGCCCATGATGACGTTAATGAAATTATCAACACTCTATAATGTTTTCATTGCAGCCAGCCATTTGAATGGGGATAGGTGCTGGACCTGTGATTTGGCCTCTCCCAATGTGAATCAGAGCTTAGAGCTGCCTCAAACACTAAGAGGTCTTGTCCAGGATCACAAAGGCAGACTGTGAGAGACAACATTTGAACCAGGTCCTCCTGGCTTTGAGCCAATGCTCTACTTACTCTGTCATGGGCCTTTCATTTATATTCTTTATATTAAACGAAATCCACAACACATGAATCCTCATTCCATGCACAACTGATTCCCATCGAAACCAAGACCTTGAAAGGTCTGGGGAGGCTCTGAGCCAGTTGCTCATCCCTTGGCTGCGCCAGCAGGGCTCCTGGCACCCACTGGTTGGTCTACCCCAGCATCTCTCACTGATCTTCCTTTAGAGTCACAACATTTCCCACCTCCTAAAGGTCTTCTTCTTGACCCCTCTACACAGCTGCCAAAGTCATGTTCTAGAAGTTTAGTCTCCTAAATGTGATCTAGTGGCCCCTGATTTCCCCTAACATTGAAGAAAACCTCTCGTTTGGCCTCCAAAGCTCTCACCTTCTTACCCCCCCCCCAAACTCTGCAGACCGGTAAGACTGGCCTGTTTGCCATCCCTCACCCAGGATGCTCGGCTGGCTTTTTCCTGGGGTGTACAGAAGTTAAGAGGTCTCGTGACTGGTGTGGCAGAGAAGGGGTTTGAAGGTGGGCTTTTCTAACTTAAGTCCAGCAATCTACTTCTCGTTCCCCCACTGTGCCTCCAAGATTCTCCCCTCCTCTCTCTACCTCTGGGGGTCTCTGCAGGAGAGGAGGCCCATCCTGGTCCCCTGAGCTGCTCTTCCTCTTAATGCTACCTAGACTTGGGCCACACTGGTACATGCTGACTCTCTTAGTAAAACGCAATGAGAATAGGACATCCCAATGCTTAGCACAGTGCCCCACACACGTGAGACTTTTTGTAAACATTTGTAGATTAATTATTGTAGAGGTTTAAAATCATTACCTTGCATAAAAATCTTGAGCCTTTTGTTTCTTTACCTAGACTTTCACTTCCTCAAGAAGCTGTGGTTATCCCTGAGAACTGGACTTAGGCTGTCTATGGTGTCCTACGATCACAGACAGGAACAGAAGGGCCACGTTATACACACCTACTACTGATATTTTTGACCAAAGTGTGTATGTTACACAGACATTAATAAACTATTGTTAACTGCACACTAATGCAGCATAGGACATCATGTTAAAATAGGAAGGCTGACATCATGACAACATATTCATCTCTTCCCAAGTGTAGCCAAACTTTGAAATTTATTAAGCTTTCCACTTTAAAAAGTGTGGCCACAATAAAGACTGATTTAAAAAGAGGAATTAAAAAACCACCCTCCAACATAACTTTACTGTTCATAACTGAAGAAAAAGAACAAGCAATTATATAGCACCTACTTTGTGGCACTGAGCTAAGTGCTTTTCGCAAATATGAGCTCCTTTGATTCTCATCACAACTCCTCAAGACAGATATTATTATCCCCATTTTACAGAAGAAATTGAGACAAATAGAGGTGAAGTGACCAGCTATGCAAGGCCACACAGCTAGAAAGTGTCTGAGACTGGATTTGAACTCAGGTCTTCTTGACTCCAGTTCTTGCAGTCTACCCACTGAGTCACCTAGCTAACACCGGCAGAGCTAAGTGACTGAATAAAATCAAGAGATGAGGAGAGACTTCAGACACTTCTGTTATTAAATACCCAGAATTCTATAATCACTCATATGTTTGTGTAAGCAAGAAACCTAAGGCCTCTTTTATTTTTAGACAACAACAGCACAAGTCTTTGTCAGCTGCCCTGACACAAAGTATATTTCAATTCTTGGACAAATTGAGCTGATCAGAGATTTCACTTCTGAATTTTTTTTCCAATGTAATTTCTCTAAGCCAATGACAACGGATCTACAAAATGATTACACTATTAATGGCATCATCCATGTAACAGAGTGGATGAAACATCCATTTCTTTCTCCTTGGAGATGTGAATCATCCAGTCACGTGGTTTCCCACAGTCTGTGGGTCCCTCCATTGGACTCTATGACTTCTCTGTCAATCGATGGTCCTTTTAAAATTGCACTGGCTGATCATGGAAGCCAGAGAA